CCCCTCCAAAGTCAGGAGACCGGGAGACCCTCCCCCGCCAATCCCTTCTGTCCTGGGCCATTATATTCTAGATCTTTATCCACAGCCCATCCAGACCTATCACCCAGATCAGGGAGAGCCTAAATTTAGTAGCAAAGCCAACCTCGAGGGAACCAGGGTCCTGTAGGACACAGGAAGCCCCCATGGGACCCCCAGCCCCGCCTGAGCTGGGGCGCTGAACAGGCCAGGCATCTGCTTGGCGGGTCAAGGAGTGAATGCCGCAGCCCAGTTTTCCAAGCCTGTGGGACAGAAGCCCAGGCCCCTGGCGGGTCGAGGCCAGACTGGGTGGCTTGGAACTGACTGGGCTTTCCCCTCCCGGCCACCTCTATGGAAAAGCCGCTCCAAGGCCCTGGCCCTGAGGCCTGACTCCAGGGAGGGAGCTCTGTGTGAAAGCACAGCCCCCTCCCAGCGTCTCCACTGCCCCCTGCCACCCACTGACGCCAGTGCAGGTCTCCATTCAAAGAAATGCCCATAACGGGTGAGCCAGAGAAGGCACCTCCTCTCCGACAGGGGATCAAGTCAGCGCCACATGAAATTCAAACCGCCACCCACCATCCCCTCCCTCCTCTCCTGCCATACTCATTTGGAATAAATGGAATAAAAAAAATTACCATCAAGGCTGATACTCAACAGTGTTGGAAACATGAAAGGGGAAGAGTTGGGCTCCCTGAACCTCAGCCGACACTCAGGTAAGCAGAAATCGCTAGTAGCTTTGGGAAAATATGGACCTTGCCGTCTGCCAGCCGAGATTCCAAAGTGGTTATCCTGTGACTCTAAATGTATATAGATATTTAAGAATCGGCCAACAGCTGGGGCCTGAGCAGGGTGATTTTTTAACAGTGTTCCCTCGCACCAGCATGTGGTAGTAAAATTCTTCCATGAAACACCCAACCAGCAAAGGGGAACAGGCCTCGCAGGCTGAGAGGCCTGAAATAGACGAGACCAGCGGCCACCGCAGCCCCCAAGGCACATTCCGGACAATTATGCCCATCCGCTCACCCGGCGCCTGTCGTAAAACCTAGCCCGACGGTACCTTCTCCACCCGGGGCCAAGGGCACAGGATCCGCTCGCGTCCGAGGGGCCTCCCCGGGTCGCAGCGCAGAGATCCCACCAAGCTGGGCGAGCAGGGACGGAGGAGAAATGTCCGCAGCTCCCCTCCGCACACCGTCGTTCACATCCCCTCCCGACTGCTCCTCCTGCGCCCTCCCCTGCACCAGTGTGATAGCAGCAGCTGAGTGGACAAGTCATTTCTAAAATTAGCCGCTGAGCTCCAGGTCTGGACGGGGACGCAGCCCGGGGTGGCCGCTGACCAGGCAGTCGGAGCGCATGGACATATTTGGTGGCGCGGAGCGGGGGAGGGGACAGCTCCCGACACAAGCACATTCTCCCCCCAAACGCCGCCCCGTCCAGGGCGGGCCACTCAGTCACACGCCCGCCTCCGCTCCACGCAGATAACCGGAGGCCACAGCAGCTGGGCGAGGAGGAGAGGCTGGCTCCATGTCCCAGCTGGTCTCTGGAAGGACATCACTGAACCAAACGCTGGTGTCTCTTGGTAAACAATCAATGCGTGGAAACAGGTACGAAGGAGGCGACCGCCATCACGCGCAAACCTGAGGTCTTCTGTGAACTCATCTCCTAGTCCCGACAACCCCAGGAGGTAGGGTTTTCCCCAGGCCCGTCTTACCCATGGGGAAACTTCGGCTTGGAAAAATGAACCAACTTACCTTAGGCAGCCCACCGACTCAACCAACGTGGATCTGAGCAAACTCCGGGAGACTGTGAAGGACAGAGAAGCCTGGCGTGCTGCAGTCCGTGGGGTCGCCAAGAGTCGGACATGACTTAGTGACTGAACGACAACAACCTTAAAAAGCAGAGAGCCAGGATTTGAACCCACCAAGTTCTTTCTGGCGCCCCCCAGAGGGCACGGTCTTAAAACACTGCAGCAAATGAGAGGCTAAAGCCTGCCCTGTCCACTGCCTGTTACGGCCTCTGGTCCTTGGGCTCGAATCAACAGGAATTGGTGAGAAGCCGGATGAGGAATTCAGGCAAGGCTTTCCTGGGGCTCGGGCTGCAGCAGCAGGGAGCGAGAACAAGAAACAGGTGCCCTCGCTTGCTCCCGGAGGAGGGCGGGCTGGTTCCTTACATGAGGGGAGGGTGGGGGTGATGCCTGGGTCAGGCAGGAGGGGTGGCCTAGGTAGTCTGCCCACCCCCGTGGTGAAGCTGGGTGCACGGCCCGTGCGCAGTACCGGCTTTTGCTCCCGGCACCTCCACAATGCCACTTTGCTTGTGGCCTTTTGTATTTTCTTGTTCTGAGGAATTATCCCAACTGTGCGTATGCATGCAGTTAATGTCTCTCTGTATTCCCTTGCTCTAAAAGAAGTTGGTCCAACGTTGGCACAAACACTTGGGAAAAGGACCCCAGGTCCCAGCCTATCTCATCTGGAAGGAGAAAACTAGGGACTTTCACAGATTATGTATGTCATGCCGGTCCACACAGCTAGCAAGGGGTTGTCAGGATGCAAATCCTGGACTTCCTGACTCTGAAGCCTATGGTCATTGGAATGAATGGTCATTTCAACCATTTGTTTTTGTTTTAATGTGACTGTATCATATATGTATTACATGTAACCCAGACAGACTTAATCATTGAACCTGACTAAAAGGGTATACTTGTTCTTTATTGAAGTATTGTTGATTTACAATATGATCTTAGTTTCAAGTGTACAAGATGGTGATTCCAAATTTTTATAGGTTACACTCCATTTAAAGTTACAATACAAGAGGTGAGCTTTTTCAATGGCATCTAGAAAGGGCAACAATTATGAGTTGAGTTTGAGTAGCTAAGCCTCTGAAAGTGCAGTCAGTATGATCTTATTTTACATTTGTGAGAGGGACCAAACTTTACACAAACCAGTGGAATATTCGTAAATCTGTTTCTTCCTTTTTCCATTCCTCCTTGGTCAGGAGGGCATTTCAAGACAGAGAAGCGAAACCACCCTTATCTGTCACAAAGAAACAATGAGGCGGAAGACAGGTTTAAAATAGGATCAGGCTAGTAGCCCAGAGGCATCTTCTTCTAACTTTCACTAATATACACGTAAAAGGCAGAAAACTTTGAAAATTCCCAATGCAGGAAACTATGACTGACGGTCAGGCAGAGACATGTTTTGCTCAGTCGCGTCACATCTGACTCTTTGCGACCCCATGGACTGTAGCCCGCCAGACTCCTCTGTTCACAGAGGTTTTCCAAGCAAGAATACTGGAGCCCATTGCCATTTCCTCCTCCAAGGGATCTACCTGACCGAAGGATGCAACCTGGGTCTCCCGCACTGGCTGTTTACCACTAGCACCACCTGGAAAGCGGGGTTGTTCAGAGGCTAAGTCGTGTCCTATTCTTTGCAACTCCATGGACTGTAGCCCGCCAGGCTCCTCTGTCCATGGAGTTCTCCTCACAAAATACTGGAGTGGGTTGCCATTCCCTTCTCCAGGAAGCCCTTTACCAGCTATCAAATCAACTCTATGAACAGCATTTATCCACTTTCCAATGCTATCCTTTAAGAAGAAAAATGTAGAATCCAGTCATTTGGGGTATCTGTAAATCAGGCAAAATGTCTCCTTGCTGTGACCATCTGCCTCTGTCTCCCATTTCACCTGTTAGGGATGAGTTAATGTGGGCCCCTAAGCAGACTTCCCCTCGTGGGCTTTGCTGATCAAGTGCATGTCCAAAGCTGCGTGCATGAGCAGAGTGAAGCCTCAGGGTTTCCCTGGAGATAACCAGCTTGAACAACTCGGACTGAAAACCTTTTTTCAACCTCTGGTACCCAGAATGGTTAGAAAGCGGCCAGGAAAAGATAGCCTTTCCTTTAGTTCAGCACCTGGTTCCTGCCCAGGTAAACCAGCAGGAGCTCCGGGTTCAGAAGGCACGGCTTGAGGGGGAAGATGACATAGAGGAGATCCTTAGGCCATGTGGGAGCAGCCCTGGGCCATGCGGGAGAAGAGATTTCCTTTTCGCTCTCCAGGTACAGCCGTAGTCCCTGACATTTACCCCTGGATGGAAACTTGGAGGATGTTTTTGGCTAGAATGGCCCTTCAAAGTCATCTAATTCAACTCTCTTAGTTTAGGGATGAGAGAACAGAGGACCAGAGGCTGCCTGGTGACCGTGCTGGGAATAGGGTCCCCAGGCTGCTCCCTCTCCTCCCGGGTGCCAAGGGGTGACCGGATCTCTGCAGCTCTGAGCAGTGGCCGTGGTTACCTACTATGTCAGATCAAGGGCTCCGCCACCAGGATGCCCTCTGCCCGTGATGATGCCCACGCGCCCCACAGCTGGGGCTCCTGGCGACTGTTTTGTGAGAGATTTTCAAGTTGGCAAATACAAATACACTCCATGGGCCAACTGTGATGGCCATCTTTCCTGAACCAGTCAGGGACAGGTGTTTCCAGCTCAAGCAGAGAGGTATCTACCCTACCCTCGACCTGTCGGCCAACAAGCAGGCGTGCCTGTGGCTCTGGGGCCACCACCTCCTTAAATTTCTGGCTTAAAGTGACACACGCCATGGGGTCTCTCCGCAGGTCTTTGTGGGAGCAGGGCTGGAGGAGAGGCCTTAATGTCTGGGAGGGAAGCCAGGGTCACCCTGAGAGTACACGCAGGAGGCCTGGCTGATCTCCTAAAAAAACTGGAAACAAGACGGACCTCTCGGCTCTCCCAGACTCTTTCCTGGCGCCATGCCTTCCTCAAGCAGGTTAGTCTCCCAAACCCTGACACTTGGCTGTGCTCCAACAATCCTTGAAATTGGCAGAAAAAACTTGTTGGCAGTTCCCTTCCTATAATAAAATCTGCCACTGCGTGAATTTCCCCCCAAATCAGGATTTCTTACAAACGAAGTCACCTCCTGATAACCGAATAGCTTGATGAAGAAATGTAGTTTTTAGCTGGGTGGAAAAACAGCACACCAAAGTTAAGTCTCTTTGTATACAGATCCTTTTTATTGAGGTTTATATAAGTAATTTATCAACAAAGAAAACCAGCGTGGCTGCCCCCAAATGACCATGAGAAACAACGATACTAACCGACGGTGACACGCCACGCACGGGACAGGGGACCTCAGACCTGGCCCAGCATCTCACATGGGAAACAATTTCAGACCGGTCAACACACACTAAGAGGTGGCTGTGACCTCACCTGGCACAACTGATGGGAAGAGAAAGCAAGCCAGATAACAGGTGCAATCTTTAGATTCATAATATCCAATTCACTGACCTCTTTTGGCATAGCGATGCATGAGAGAAAACGGATTTATTTCTTCAAAGGTGTTCCCCTTTGGCCACAAACAGAACAAATCTGTGACCATGGGGATGGTTATGCAGCAAGGGACACAAGGAGAGAGACATGTCGGCGTGTGAGGACGGACCCCCTCACCCCTCATGGGGACCCATCTTCACTGTTTCACGTGGACCCCTCAAAGGTCTGCTCGAACATAAGACCTCTTGCAAAGTTTTAACAGTGGACAAGCCCATTTCCCAAGTCATTTTGACTTGGCGAGATGGGAAGAGTCATGTTCAAAGGAGCTGCTCCCAGAAGTGCTGCTTTTAAACCCAGTCGGCTGTTTTCTGAAGAACGTGGAGGAAGAGGCTTCCGTTTAGGGTGCTGATGAATCAGGTGCTACAGTCAAATCTTGAGGCGACAGCAAGACTGGTTGGGGGATTTGGCACAAGAAGAGTCAGAAGTGACGCTCTGCAGGTAGACTTCAGCTCCTGAAGGCTGGCCATACAAGTACCTACCTGCCCTGCTTGCTGGGGCCCCTACGCGCCGCTGTGAAATCTGCATCATGAGGAGAGGACACCAACATGCTTCTCTGAAGTTCTTCTATGGTGGAGCTGGTCTAGAGGGACGCGTTCGGGGAACCTGTCCCCAAGCACAGCGCCTTCAGAAGAGGTAGATGAAAGCAGTACCTCACGGCAAGTTCACGGTCAGGTGTTACCCAAGAAGTGCACGTGCCTGTCGGCACAGGTCTGAGGGTTTGGCTGTTGTTGAAAAAAGTCTGCAGGCCATGAGAAGGGATGTCCGCCCCACACTGCTATAGGCTTCGCTTCAATTTTATTTTGTGAACAAAACAAAATGAAACAGAAAGGAGTGCGTTTTCTTAAATAACAAACTATACAAATAAAAAGGAGCAGAAGCAGTTAAGAAATGTTTTTGATGAGAACAAAGAGAGGGTTCAATAAATAATATAAAATGCTTTTGTGCTAAAATAGAACTCTTGTTTATATATATATATGTATATGTAGTTTGGCATCTTAATGTTACCCAGAAAAAAGCCACATCTGTTAGTTAAAACATAGAAAAATACAAACAATAAAACTTAAAAAAAATGGCCAGTGCTTAGCTTATAAACCATATATAAAATGTACATCATGGAATATATCAACTAAGAAACAAGAAGTTGAATTTCAAGTCCTTTGAAATATGAATACATGATTAGAAATATTTCTCCATTCCCTACCCTCACGAGAGACATTTTATGTTAGGAAAAAAACTAAAATGGAAGCATAGTTATCAGTTTTTCAGAGATGATTTTGCAATTTCTTAGGTATAAGAGAGTTTACTGTAAGAACATGGGTTATTTAAGTCTAAAATGAAGAATTAAATTTTTCCTATATATGGTTTTGACAAATGCATATTCTGTTAATCCATTTTCTGTAACGTGCATTTTTTTTTTTAATAAAGGCAATTTAAAATTTGGGGTGCTACATTTATCAGGAAGTGCTAACCCAGCCATGCCAGTGAAGTGGCCAGTCACTCGTGTCCCCACTGCCAGAGCTGAGCGTCTCTGTCACCCTTTTGTCAGAGAATGGCTCTCTTAAGTCTTCGAGGATGAAGGAAATCTAAAGGCCATTATGATTCGAGGAAACCAAGAAGTATCATTTTAGAGTTCAACTTTCATTCATTCTACAGTAAATTTTTAAAAATGTGGCCTGGATACAAAAATCCTTATTAACCTGAATTTAAATGATTAATTCTTTAAAGCTTCTCAAGTCAACCCAATGCAGGAGGAAAATCATGTTAGAACTTTAGAGGGAAAAAAAAATGTTCTGAGAAATTCAAACTGTTAGAGCGCACTGCGGCTGGCTCAAGTGGCACGCCTCGTGTCATCGTCGGGGAATCACAGTTAACTGCAGCGCTTCTGCGGCCCCATCCCCACCCCACCTGCAGGGCCGGGCATTGAGAGCCACCCACACCGCCACTGGCCCCCTGCTTGGCTGCCAGGCATGCACAGCCAGACAGGCAGCAGCTCTGGGCTCCGTGGGCCTTCCCCAGGGCTGCTGGATGACAAACAGGGGCAGCCTAATGTCCTGGTGGAAAGCGAACAGCCTATTCTAAGTCTAGCAGCTCCACAGTCAAAGAGACCAAGTCTTACAAGAGTTACTATTCAATTCCTCTTCTTCTAAGAGGAGGACAGCCCTGAAGCCCCAAGTTTAACTGTAACTTCCCTGGTCCTTGATGGTGTAAAGAGATGAGTTTTTACTAGCAAATAAACTCCTTTTTCTCTTTGCCCCACTTCTACCAGGACGTCTCAGGATCTGTCACAGATCTGAATGAAGGCTGCTGACTCCTCTCTGCCATCCCCCAGCAGGTGAGGCGTTCACTTTCCAAGTATCTCTGAATGACACACATACATTTCCCTGAATGTAGGTGAGAAAAATTATAACTAATTAAATCATGCAAGAGAAGTTTTATCTTACACCGCCACATTGCACATTTTTAACAGATTTACGTCGAGCGAAAAAAGTCCAACTTTGAGAATTTTCTTTTCTTCTTGATGGGTTAAAATTCTGAAATATCAGAAAGGTCAATTCCACAGAAAAAGTCAAACATTGTATTGGATTCACTAAACTATAAATTCCAAGTGAAATTTTTAAAAAAATCCTCGGGGAGGTTGCGGGGGGAACACACTTTGATCTTCAGAGTTAAACTACACTGTCAATTGGTCAATGACATTTTTTTAAAATGACCAATGAGGGTCTTCAAACAATTGTTGCCAGGGTCTGTATGGAGTATTTCAAACTGCAAATCAAGGCGAAACATTGCTTTAAGAAGGTCGTTGTTTGTGGCTGTTGCTCTATTTACTTCTCCAGCTTTGTTGCTGTCTTTCTTGAGCAGAATGCTATCTTTCTTCTCTTTACATACAGAACTTGAAGTTGTCGTGTCTGTGAATTGACCAGTTAGAGGCACAGGTAGTGAAATGTTCTCATTAGCAGTGAAACAACAGCTGATTTCTAGCAGTTTTGCTGAAAAATCATACTTAAACATGACAGAGAGGGAAAAAACCATGAGCGCCAGTGACATAAGGGGATAAATGCACCAAGGAGAATGTTAACAGGCCAAAAAAAGAAATAAATAACCTTAGATTCTCCCAAGCTTCTAATTCATTTCATAGATGCCACACAGCAGCGTAATCAATTTTTAGGCTTTGCTTTAATGATTCCTTTGCTTTATGAAATCAAGACATTAACATAATTTTATAAAAATATCAGCTTCGACGATTTTCTCGAACATTAAAACATCCCAACCATATAAATCTAAAATAATGATAGTACTTGTGCTCAATTCTGTCCTTTTGAACGGTCCAAACGTAGTTACAGCCAAACATGAAGACCTAAAACAACCACGTATACCAAGTCTTCTAAAAACAACCGACTTCTTTGGCCATGTGGGTACCAAGTGCTGGCACAGAAGGGTCCTGGAAAGTCTTCCATCTGGCAGTAGAGACACGTACCCCATCAGAACGGCTGCACGAATGAGTTCAGGAGGAAGACTGGCCTCTCTGGGGCTGTCAAACTAGACCCCAACACAACCCAGGACCCACCCTAAAAAAGCCACTCATCCTAACCTCACAGGGTACTTTTAATAAGTGACATCCACGTGACACTTCTCAGCCCTGTCCTTATCCATCCATCTTGAGTTGAGGGAGTTTACTTGGAATAAATCTGAGGCAACAGAGCTCTTGGGGTGTTTCCAATTCATGTTTCTTTTCCAAAGGGAAGATGACCTTATGTTCTGGTCCAGAGCTTAAATGATGTTTTTCAGAGATGCAAACTGGCATAGCTGGTGCCCTGGGTATGCAATGTTGGGATGCTAAGCCCAGACCCTTGAGGAATTCCTGTACCTTCTCCAAGAGAGGTTGCATCTCTACTCTGTCCGGCAGAGGCGCGAAGCTCAGCAATTTCTAAACTGTAATTTACTCATCTCTGAACTGTAAGCGCTGAGCACACACGAGCTTGCAACAGAGCCACTAACACCACCAGTGACAGTGACGGACAATCGCTATGGGAAGATGTTCACTCGTCATGAAGTGCTTTTCCACCTCTGTTTTTTTGTTATTTCAACTTTTTTTTAAAAAAAGAATTTGACTACTCTTCTTCCCTTTTACATCAGGAGAATCCATGTAAATAGTAGGCCCCAACTTCTACACTGCAAACAGCAGAGAGCAGAACATGTATATTACATTCCAACTAGCAAGTGAGATAAATAGTAAACCTCGCAGTTTCTTTTCCAAGGTAATTTCTATGAAACAAAAGGCTCTTTCAGTAATTATCTTCCCAAACTCTCAAGACGTCATTTCGTTAAGAAGGACTGACTTTCCCAGTGAGCATGGCACACGAATGTAAACACAGAGATTTGGAACCACTAAAAATATCGAGGACAGGATACAGATAATTACGATGTCAAGTTATTTATATTGTGAGTAGTCGACTTGGAAACAGACAATGAAAGTGCACTAAGAATAGGACAAATATGTTGACTTTGAAAATTACTGTTATTATTTTTAGTCTGATGACACGGAGGACATCACTGGGAAACACACTGGGTTTTAGAACCCAGCACTTATTTGGGGCCTGACACCAACCCCGGGGAGAGGACGGCCACTGGGACCCAGCCATTGCTGTCACAGGATGGCCCATCCGGGCCTGGGATCATTAATGACAGTTGAACGACAGCATAAGTTCAACATACACAGTTAACCCTTTCTGGCACATTCATCTTCGGCATTCCTTTTTCAATAAAATTCATTTTAAGTTATACTAAAATGTCAAACACAGTTTCTTTCCTTGACCCATTCATTACCGAGATGCTTCCTGAGGTCAGGCAGAGGGAACCAGAGGTGCTGGGTCACATGACCGCTTCTGTCCAAACCCAAGACAGGCGTCCCCCCAGGCGGTCCCGGGCACCCAGACATAGGAAAGTGCTGTGGACTTGGAGGGTTTTGAAAATGGCTATTGCCTTGAGATGTAAACTGCCACTGCCTCTCTTGTAGAGCCACTGCGAACCTTCTGAAGATCTGTGGTCTGATGCCTCTGGTGTTGACTGCTCCCACGCCCTCAGAGACGGGGGTGGGGTGGGGGGCAGGGTCCTCGATCCCCAGCTGCCTGAGCTCCCTGTCACAGGCAGGCTGGTACCCATGGGTAACCCTCTAAGAAAACCTCTGCAGCTTTCAAGCCTGGGAGAACAAGAGACACCCCCGGGGTGGTCTGCCATGCCCCCGCAGCACAGAGCAAAGACAGTCAAACCCAGAAGTGGCTGTTGATGGACAGAACGTGGCAGTGCAGGGCAATCTGAACAGCAGACTGCTCGATCCCATCTTAGCAAGTCTGAGATACGCTTGCTAGCGGATGTAAAAAGTGCCGCGATCAGTAGGGAGCATTTCAAGTTCTAGGTTCACCCATAACCAATAGAAACGTATGGCAAAGAAGGAGAACTTCATTTCTTCAGTAGTTTCGAGGACAGAGAGATGCGATGGTGGCAGAGGCCCTGAGGAGGGAGGAGGCACCCCTGAGCCTGACGGTGGTCACCGCTCCTAGCAGAAGCATCTCGGAGTCCTGGCCCCAGCCCAGCCACAGAGCACCCCGGAGGGGAGCAACTTTGTCCCTCATCCTCACACTTTTCCCCAAGGCTGCACTCTGAGGACTGAGCAGCCCACGTGGACTGCCCGGAGGAGGTGCTTTCTCCTGGGACCCTCTCCATCGGTCAGGGGTTCAGAGGCCGTTGCTGTTCCTGTGGCAGAGAGGCGGCTTTGAGAGTTCCACGACGGCCGAGCGGGATTTGTTGAGGAACTTGGGGGCTCGCCGTAGCAGCCGCTGGGCCTCCGTGAATGTCTCTGTCAGCTCTTTCTTCCACTGCACAAACTCTGGGTCACTCTGAGGGCAAACACACGGAGGGGAGGAGCTGGGACAGTGTCATGACTCTGCTGACACGTGGAAGCCTCTGGCCAGTCCAGACGGCCTCGGAACACCCCCCCAGGGAAAGCATACCCCATGTCCCTCCCCTAGGCCAGTGAGGAAGCGGGGAGGCACACAGAGACTGCCTCCAGGGGCCCCTTGCTCAGAGGAGGGACCACGCCCTTCAGAGGAGCCTCGTACGGCCCCACTGGGAGACGTGCTGCCTTGACTTTGTAGAGCAATCACCTGTGATCTCTGATGTCTTATCACAACTTAAGTCTAGAAGATGAAATATGAGGAGCTGGCTTTTTCTGGCTGAGCTGCACAGCACATGGGATCTTAGTTCCCCAACAAGGGACTGAACCCGCGCCCCTGCAGTGAACCACTGGACCACCAGGGAAGTTCCCAGGGAGGAGTTTTCACAAATTTAAGAAGCACCTTCCCATGTGTTATGATGTCATGAAGTAATTAAGCATATGTTTTACTATCAGCTATTGGTCTATCTCTCTAAACATGCTCTCTCTTTACACATACACACACACCCCACACACACCCCCCGCCCCAGCAGAAAAGTGTTGAAGTCACAAAATAAGCACATCTTTGTATCTGCTACTACTCTCTTTCTCTAAATATGCTCTTTTTTCACACCTCCACACCCTCCCTCAATATCTCAGGAGGTAAGTGTTCAGGAATTAAGTCTGAGCTACGATAGAACTTCGGGAAAGAATAATGGCATTTCCCTGCTCACAGATACTTGGGGATCTTATGTTTATTTAAACACAAACCTCAATTTAAACATGCTTAAAGAGCAGAGCAGATCTGGGAAACTGTGGAACAAATGCAATTTGAAGCCCCTATTAATTACTGGATGGTTTCCAGAGAGGGGGTAACCACGTTATTTCCTGTCCTTCCTCCTGTCATCTTCTAAGAACACTTCTTTTAAAATAATTGTTAATTTGCCAAAAACTTGTGTCTTCTGACTTTCTTGCTAAGTTTGTGAGTGATAAAGCATGGACTGAGAAAATGTTACATAAGCAGGCAGGCATCTTTGCTGAACATTTACATCACTGTTGTAACCTTCACCCCTGTGGAAAACACAAATGAAGACTCACCTCACACTGCAAGACAAACTGCTTCCCTCCTTTTATCCTCAACAAAATGCACTTTTTGTCTTTAATCTGAGTTTCTTCCACAGACACAATCTGTTCCATTGTCAGTAAATTTTGCTGTTGGTAAAAATAAAAGATGATGAGTTACTTCACTTATTATTGCGTGAATTTTTAAGTTAATAAATCATACTGAAAACTACCAGCTCAGATAAGTAAAGGAAAAAAAAAACAGCCATCTTTCTTTCTTTGACGATATTCTAGAAGTGGGAGAGAAACGACTACAAGAGAAATGTACAAACATTCAAAATATCTCAAAGAAAGCTGCAAAGAGAGAAATATCTCTATGAGGCAGAAAGCAAAGCTGTTCCCTCAGCACAGTACTGACGTGAGGATGAGTGTGGAGCACGCACCTCTCCGGCATCACACACTCCCCTGGATGCAGTCAATCCTGCTGTGAGGGAACAATGATGCGATGCACATGATATGCAGGAGCCAGAGCGGTGGCACTGGCTTTGAACCCACAGCTCAGGAAACGTTTGGGCATGTTAGCTTGTAAGCAACTGCTATTCTGATCATATCGAAATGATGCTATAAACACAGGTGATGTGCTTAAAAGATGGTCCCTCTGGGTCCATGGCATCATTGCTTCTGGTAAATGCCACAGTGCCTCTGAGCACCTTACCATTTTATGTTTTTTGGGGTAAATACTCCAGGAATCCTAAATGAAAAACAACACCATCATAAACTCACATTTATTTTCTCCTGACTTAAACTTAACGAATCTACCCAAGCACATGACATAGCTTCATGAATCGACACTAAACATTCTCTTAAAACCAGGGTAATTTATCACATCCAATGGTAAGCAAAATAAGATTATCTTTTTTTAGTATTCGAATATTCTGAAAAGTGAGATAATCTCCTTTCAATGTGTACAACAGTGACTTACTAAGGCCACTCACTAACTGCAAATAAACATTATATAATGATTTATGTATGGATTAACACTAAAGTGTATTATAGAATTACATTCCGCAATGTAAAAAATACACATGTAATATTATATAAAATATAATTATTTACACACATTTTATATGTGTATTTTATATTACACAATATTTACTAGTACCTGAGTTATAACTGCGGATCCTCCCAAAGAGTTTTCTTAATCTCAACTCAGATCCTGGCTGCATTAATTTTTAGAAGATGACTTCTATGGCACTAGTAGTAGTGAGAAGATCCTGCTCATTTGTAAAGAATGTGGTCATACTCAGGCAGCAGTCACTCACAATTAAATGGCATCTTCACCAACAGGGATTTGCAAAACCCATTCCAAAGCCGAATACACCAGGTGTGGGCTCACCACTGGTGGGCTCCATGCCCCAGGCAAGGGGAAGCCGTACTCCGATACACCAGCTACATTTTTCAGAGTTGGGACCACTGTCCTGCTTATGATGGCCAACCTCCCCTCTCCAAGAGCAGAAACCCTTCCACCTGGGCCACTCCTTTCCAGGGACATGAGCCCCTGGCTCGTCACACAGCAGGCATCTAATAAATGCTGCCCAGCCTCCTACAAGTGGTGGTGGGGATCAGAAATTTCTTTCTTCTCTTTCACAAACATTAGCCCTTGAAAGGACCTTACAGGGCTGCCATATCTGTCTTCCCGTCTAATTGGATGGAGCCCACTTCCGGTCTTCCACATAGGCGCAGCAGGACAGGAGGGCCAGGTGCTCTGACCTCGGTGCCAAGCCTCTCGGGCTACACCAATGACCGTGCTTCACCTGACCCTGACTCGGGAAGGCCTCATCACGGAGACAGGCAGGCCTTGGTTAGAATCACTCCTCACCCAAACCTGTCCCTGGGGCCAGGCCTTCCCTCTCTAAGCCCTGGTTCTCTCTTTATAAGGGTTGGGCCTCTAAGGGTGCTAAGCAAATTAAATGTGTGTGTGTGTGTGGATAGCACCTGACCCAAGATAAATATGCAAAAACTGTAGTAGTTGTTACAATTCCTTTTCTTTTTTAATATTAATTTTTACTGGACTATAGTTTGCTTTATATTGTTACCATTTCCACGTCTCACCTCTCAACAGATGAGGAAACTGAGGTTCAGTCAACAGAATGTGCTTCTGAGTCCCAGAGACACGAACAGTGTGTCTGAACACCTCTGACTCCAAAGTCCCAGTTTTTGTCCCCTTTTGGGATCCACCCAACCGCTCTCCAGCCTTCTGCAAACCTGCCTGCTCTGACTTCCCTGGATGGCACATTCTGTTTTCAAGCGGTACCAAATCTTTTCTTGCTTCAGAGGAGTCTGAGAGTATGAACATGAGAAATCTCACATACACAGGTTAGAGGAGACACACAGAGTAGGGAGAGCTTTTACAAACACGCCAGCGACACAAGATCACCATGGAAACGTGCTCCGCCCCCGCTGCAGACTTACTCGCGACTCGCCCTCTCCTCTCCACTCAAGTCTGTTCGGAAAGAGGTAAAAATAGCGGCGCTGCCACTGGGTCAGGAAAGGGTTCCCCAGCTTCAGCATGTACCCATGCATGATGCAGTCTCTTCCCAGGGCGTAATCTGAGGCACAGAACACAGCGTAGCGTTCAGCAGGGTCGGAAACAGAATGCCCTTAGGCTTCTCAGAAAAAAAGAATGACACGCTTTCTGGAAAAAGAACAAGTTGCTATAAAGAGAACAGTCCATAGAAATCATTACTTTTGCTTTTAAGCACATGAAAGAACAAACTTCTTCAGCTCTCTACTCACATATTAGATGGCTGTTTCTCCATATTCTGATAAATTCAAGATGCTCCACTATCACTCTGAGTGGGTAAAAGCTTGTCTGCTAACTAGTTTTTTCATTATGCAGGGTGACAGTTGGGGAACAGAGGGTGATTATACTGTGCCTAAAGTACCTTTGCTTTTACATGGCGTTGGGGTTCTCCCTTTAACCGTCTATTAAGAAGAACAGCAGAGAGGCGTCTTTGTCCAAAGAAACCAAAGTAACACAAGGATCAAAACTATTCTTTCTTCCACTTAAGGTTATAATTACCCTTTGAACATGTGGTTATGTAGAGAGACCAAGCTAATTCGGGCTCATGCCAAGTTCTGATTACATTTTTACAGCAAAGTATTGTCTTGAAAAAAAGGTCAGTTTTAAGTAGCTTGCTTTGCCTTCCTTAGAGGCTTTGGTGATCACACTTAAATCATTCATTCATTCATTCATCACTCACTCATTCAGCTATGAAGGGAATGGATGCGTAGGTGCTAGGCACAGCGGTGAATAAAAGAGACAAAAGTCCTCGCCTTCAGGGAGCTAACACTCTTAGTTGGAGATTCATGTAATAAATAAGCAAAACCCATGTTGTATCACATGGACAAAAGCAGGAAAGGGATAAGTGAAAGAGGGCATGGCCGGAGGAGGGTTCGTGGTGATGAGGTACGGTTCATGGAGTTGCCAGTTTAATGGAAAAGGTGTCTGAAGTATACTTAAAGTGTAAGTCTTCTATTTTCACTTCAGAGATCTAAGCCTAGACTGTATTTTTGTGTAAGGGTGACCTCTGAAATATTCAACCAAGATCTAGTTATATCAAAATTACTTACATATATTTGAAGATAAATTTATTGTTCTGCTAGATGTTCTAATTGCAGCTCTAGTTAAAAGGCTACACTTCAACAAGGTCATTAAAATATATATTTTTGTTTTCTGGGTCCAATCTGCTAAGATTCTAGTGACATCACAGGTCTCCCTTGAGCAAACTACTGAGGCTGCAATTTCCTGTGTAAAATCCATCCCAGCAAACGTGGTCGATAGTGATCTCAGCGGCCCCACTTCTCTAAAGAGCAGCTTAGAAATAAAGCCCCTTCCCCTGCAGAGTGGAGGTGGACAAGGGTAAAGGGCTGCCATGCTCCCTCGGTGCAACTCAGGTGACTTTCAGCCAAGCAGTCATTCATCCTGGGATGGAGGACACTTTTCTAAGTAGGTGATAAATGCTACTAGGAACAGCCAACAAGACCCAGGAACCCTGCATCAAGATGCCCCAACCAAGGCAAGCTGTTCATAGATTGAAATGATTTCTGATCATTCTTACTATATGTTAACCTCAGGAAGGTCTTTGCTTAGAAGTAAAACCAAAGATATCTTAATCACCAACCACAACAAGTTTAAATCCAAAATCCATAAAGTCTTAGAAAAATCAAGACTGACAATATTTGGTGAATCAAAAATGACCAGTTTATTTAATACTGGATGTGATGTATTTTCCTTTGGAAATCCTAGTAGGCCACTCAAACACGGCCAATAACACTATGGCTTGGTGACTCTTTAATGCTGTTTGTAATATGTATATACTTGTGCCTCTGGACAATAAACATGTCTAATAATAAACATGTCTAATAAGCATCTCACGTGTGGTGAGTCTAAGCTCCTCACTACCCTTTTCGGGGCCCAGTGGAAAATGAACATGCAGGTTCCTTGTTAAAAAATTACTGAGAACGTCAGGACGGTGCCAGCGGAGTATTAGCCGGGGGTGGGGGCAGGCCTGAGGACGCCACACGGGCAGACGCCCATGAAGCGGGCCCTGCTCCCGACATCATCGTACTTACTCTTTAAAGGAAAAAAGCTTCCAAATCGGCTCTAAAACACTCCAAGATAAGAAGGCAAGAGTACTGACAAAATACTGCTGACAAGCCCCATACCTATTACATGTGTGTGGACTACAGACTTTGAAATATCAAGAATATACATATTTACATATGCACGTGTAACTGAATCACTTTGCTGTGTTCCTGAAACTAACACAATGTTGTAAATCAACTATATTTCAATAAAAATTAAAAAATAAATAAAACAGATAAAGACAAATGACTCTGCAACATCATTTCATGCTGAACACTCCCAGGCCAGGTAAAATTCAAACAACTGATGGCATTCCCCTCCCCCTCCCACCACTGGAAAGGACTTTATGACCCAGATACCATTTTCTGCTTTACCAGAGATCTTGGAAATCCATCGTATTAGAAATATCTTGAGACACACCGGCTATTTTACCTTCTTCGTGGCCAAGCTGCTTATTTTTAGCTCTCTTCCTGGCCTCGATTTTATCCGTGTCTGCATTCACTGCTTCATAAACCGTTTCTGCCACTTCCTGCTGCCAGCGCTCAGAGATCACCAGAGGGAAGTTCTTGTAGAGTTCTTGGTCGCAATCAAGAAGCTTGTTATTTTAAGAAATCAAGACATGTATGATTTGACATGCTTACAAAGGCAACAGATTCCAAAGCACCGTAACTGTGTGTGGGAAGATAATGAGGCGACAGGCTATAACCACTAGGAGACTACTTCTCAGCTGTCATAAACCTCTGCTGACGACCGTCGAGCAGTCAGGCGTATACTATACAACACAGAGAACATAGCCAGTGTTTCATAAGGACCGCAAACGGAGTAGAACCTTTCAAAACTGTGAATCACTAGTAAGTTATATAATATTGTACATCAACTATACTTCAATAGTTTTTCTTAAAAAAAGAAAAACTAAACAAAGGACAATCCAACAACCGGGGTCCACCACAGGGTGATATATGATAAGGACACTTCACTTCCAACCCTGTGTCAGTCAGATTGAGGCCAATCTTCTACAGCATCCTTACTTTGTTTTTGCCAATGAAAAATTAACATATACAGGGTTTTCTTTAAAGTACTACAAGAATCTGGCAATAAAAGAAAATTTCAATTATAGTGAGGCTATTCTATTTGTGGGATTTCCAGGGGGCAATAAAGCTAAAGAATCCAGCTGCCAATGCAAGAGATGCGAGTCAGATCCCTGGGTCGGGAAGATCCCTTGGAGAAGGAAATGGCAACCACTCTCATATTCTTGCCTGGGAAATCCCACGGACAGAGGAGCCTCGTGGGCTACAGTCCATGGGGTCACAAAGAGTGGGACACGACTAAGGGACTCAGCATGCACACACTTTTTATTTGTGAAAACAGGAAAACAGATCTCTGTGATTTTAGAGACATCAACCAGGGCCCGCTGCTCTCTGCCCGCCCTCCATCAATCCGGAAAGTGAGAAATACAGAAAGGCCAACAGGCTGAGTTTACCGTTCCACCCATGAACCTTCCAACAAACCCACACTGAACAGTGGGATTAATCTCAAGACACGTGACGCATTTAGGCAACTTGGCCTTTTAGAGGCGCTATGATAAAAATTACATGTAATGACAACATCTCTCTGCCAAACTATTACTCAGAGTTCTTCGTTCTTCCCCCTAAGTGAGGCTGTGCTCTGAAAGCGAGCTGAGAAAATGCTTTTTCATATCTAAGCTACAGTTTTGTGGCAGAAAGATAAGCGATCCTACTGATAGAAAATAATAGGCCTGTCTCTCAAAAGCACAGCTCTTTCTAGAAGCTTGACTCACTCACTCCCTTGCCTGAGAGGTGAGCACGGGAGAGATATTACTACAGGCAAGTCACTTAGAAGGAAAATGGAGAAAGACTGAGGGTGAGGCTCTGGCCCACAGGCCTTTGGCGCATCCCTAAACCACTGAACCACTGGACGAACCTGCATCTAGGTCCCAACAGGGATGCTCTCCACCCACCCTTATTGATCTATTACCCAAAAGTAAAGATTTCTGAGGTCAAAATGTGTACCGTTTTTCCCCTTTCTGCTCTCTTCAGATGCCCAAACCAAGCTAGGTGCTGACCTTTTGGGTGTTCTGAGTGTGAACACACACGTGTGTGTGTGTGTGTGTGTGTGTGTGTGTAGTGGAGTGTCAGAGCATCAAGACTGGGTTAGCACCCTGTGGTAACACTGGGACAGATTCTGGAGTCTGGCGAAAGTGAAAATACCCTCCTTTCCCAAGCAGTTGCTCTGAAACAGATGTCTCTGCTTTATGTATAAAGGGTTCCAGCTCCTGTAAGACCAGAGAGCCTTGGTCTTTGTGACTCAGCCTATGTGAAAAATGCATAAAACAAAGCCCTACCAGAAGTGAGCTGTTTTTCCTTAAAGACGATGTGCCATTTCGGCTGTTTTTTAAGAGACACAGTCTTCTTAGCTCTGGCTCAGAAGAAGCAAAACCAGTCCAACAACAGGTCTCAGAGCACCAGCCAGGAGGCGGACACAGATGACCTAACCCCAGAAGGGGCCTGACAATGAAACCGCTCACTTCACGGGGGAGAAAACCAGCACTCCTGAGGCTCCCGCAACAGCCCTGACTCACTCTGGTAATAAGTGAGGGTCTGAGCCCAGCCTGTCTGACTCCAAAGGCCAGGCTACAGCTGACAAAATGAAAAGCATGAGAATCCCCTTTGAATACTAAAAATTTCATGGGCTCCCATGTGATATTCACTTTCTTTTAGTGTCCTTTGCTGGAGAGAAGAATGTCTGATGACAAAACTCTTCTGTGACAGCAGTGATCCTTTGAGATAACTCTGTAAAGGGGCTGTTTCCGAAGCTGCAGGGTGGTAGTTACACCCCGACAAGTCCTGTCATCCAGGCCACAGGAGATGCCGAGCCTCTGGGCAGTGGTCGGCTGTTATCCCCAGGGGAGCCAAGGCTCCAACCAGGGAAGCGGCCGTAGCCCTCTCTGCTGGGCTGCTCCTGAGCTCCTCCGCCACCCTCCATCCTGAGAAACTGACCCCACGAGCACACCAATCACATTTATAGCTGGCTGCCTGGTAGGAGAGACCAGGAGGTTGACACAAGGCCAGGAACGCAGGCCGCTGAGAAGACACGGTGGCCGGGCGGGGGCGGCTCTCAGAGGTTTGTGGTGGTGGTGGTGGGGAGACTCGGGGGGAAGCTGAGAAAGTGGGAGCAGTGAGAACTTGACATGCAGAGACACGCTTTGACTCAGCAGCCGAAAGAGGGCGACTTTATCTCGTGACTCATCATCTCTAAATATGCCCTTGTCTACTTGGAAAACAATGATAGGAACCAAAGTTTGAAAAATGCAGAGGATGCTATATGTACAAAAAACAGTGATTATTTCACTTTTGATTGACAAGTGTGAAATGATTCATGCTGTTTGCCCTTTTCATCCTAACACAGAGAGACTGGGAAATTTGGGAGAATTAAGACGGCTGGCTCTCTGGCTTGAAGCCAGGTAATGTTTGCCATCACATGGTTGTTTCTCCTCCTTCATAATACATCTGAGTTTTCTATTAACCACCAATCTATCCAAATCAATAACAATGTGATTATTTTTCAGTTTATCAAACATGAAATGGGTGGTCAAAGAAAGCTCTCCTACAGGAGGGACTTCCACGACGGTCCAGTGGTTAAGAATTCGCCTTCCAATGCAGAGGATGTAGGTTCTATCCCTGGTCTGGGAACTGAAATCCCACATGCCACAGTGCTACTGAGCCCGCACACTGCTAACTAGAGAGAAGCCCATATGCTGCAACTAAGACCTAACTAAATAATCAAAAAAAAAAAAAAGCTTTTGTAGTCTCTAATTCAGGCCTTGATCTCTTCTACATTCATCAAACATATGGATATTTATTTGTAAGTTACAATCCAACACAAACAGGCCAGTACTAAGACAGTTATGAAGTCTGATTTCAAAAAGAAAGAAAGAAAAAAAAAATCCTCCTCCTAAAATCTAGCCTCACAAGTGTACCTTGATGCCTTTGGTATCCTCTTCATCAAATGAGCCAATGTCAAAGGCGTCGGCTGCATTGACTTCCCCTCGGGGAGGGATCAAGGGTGGAGGGTACTGGAAGAGCCGGAGAAGAAGGGTTCGGTTACTCGGGGACTGGGCCATAGGGCCAGCCCACTATCCTATAAAGAGCTTGCTGTGAAAGACATCAAGGTGCCACAGTCTGTGCAGCACTCATTCAAGCTCACACAATCACAGTACAAGGTTCACAATGGCCCCAAAGGAGATGCACCCTCCACGATCCAGCTGCTAAGAGGCTGAACGCCTGCAACAGGGCAGGAGGGGTGTCCCACACCCAAAAACGCCCTGAGGATGATGCTGGCCAAACCAGAGCCCGGACTCTAGGTCTAAACAGGCAGGACTAATAGAGCATCAGTCCTCAAGTGAGTCTGTACATAAAAGAGTCCAAAGCTGATCATCAACAATGAGAAAAAGAAAAACAACAACTTTAGTTTGGGGTGTTTTCCTGTATCAGAGAGAACATTAAAAAATATCTTACAATAAGCCAAGGAGCTCATGCTGCTACCCAATCATGCTAATTCTTAAATTATGTGGGGCTCGGCTTGAAAGTATCTATAAGAGTATGACGTTTCCTGCATATTTTTTACATGTAAACGAAGAGGAAGAAGTGGTCCCAAAGAGAATGAGCTAGGAGGCAGTGCTTGGGTAGAAGAGCAAGAAGCTGGGCTGTGGATGGGAGAGCCAGGATGCAGACAAAGATGCAGCTGGAGAGAGTGCCGGGGCTGGTGCCGGAGCGGGGCCCCAGCAGGAGTACCTTCTGCAGGTAGACATGCTGCCAGTCGATGCCTCTGAAGAAGTCGTGCGTTTTTAGCTCCTGTGCGCTGCGGGAGAGACAGAACCACAGCAGCAGTAAGTATGCATTCGGAAAACTAAGAAATGGTTCACAAGCGTCATCTCCTGTTAAGGACACACAGCAACAACTATTTTCAGGTCTTTAAGACAGCAGGTAAAATATGCTTCTTTCCAACCACTCAGGAAACACTGTGATGTTTAGCAACGCTTCAAGCTGAGCTTAGGAATATGATCCCATATAATCAGTTACAGGGGATGCTTACCTCGGCCTAAGATAACCTAGGGTTTTTGCAGACTACCTCTGTGTTTGCAATTGTGAAAACAAATTTAACTAGGAATTGAGTTAGAGCGATCTACATGTTAAAGAGATTTACAGCAAAGGTCTACAAGTCCTGTAGATTAGATAACAGAGATACAAAGCAACAAGTACTAATTTCGAAGCAAACTACACATCTAACAGAATGGTACATGCCAAACCCCCTCATAAACTGAAGAAAACAATTTTTCCCAAAGAGCACTGCTGCTTAAGCTCAGTTCACTTGGAACAGAAGGAGTTGCAGACTCTAAGGAACACATACCCGTCAAGACACACAGCTCCTACATGATCCTCCCCTACCCACCCTGAACTGAAATGGCAGATTCTTGATACATTGAAAGGAACTGAACTGCTTTCTGGGGGGAGATGCTGAAACACAGAAACATCGGCCTACCCGCCTCCGTGGCAGCCAAGGCGCTTACTGACGTCTCGCTGAAGCAGGCCTTCCAGAAGGGACTTGAGCTCGGGGGAGAAAACATCTGGAAGTTCCACGTTCTGGGGGTGGGAGGAGGGGGACACGACTTCAAAAACGCATCTGTGGAAACACTGCCCTCACCCTCGACCAGATTTAAAGGCCATTTCTTCCATAAGGATAGTGTTAAAGAAAACTGCAGATACATCACAAGTTAACATTGACTCTATAAAGAAATGCAGGGCAGTTACTCATCACTTTGAGAGTCAATCGACAGGCTGGAGCCAGAAGAATTGGGTTTCCTCCCTCTTTTGCGTCCCAGTCATTTTGCCTTTTTTTTTTTTCTTTAGTTTTGGTCTTGATTTTTCTGTATCTTTCTCTTATTGTCTGTTAGCAAATCTTGTTATCTTCCTTGGCATCTATTTCCATTATTTTAAGAAAGCATATTTTTTTTTACACTAGTTGTAACGGAATGAGATAGGAAAATTACAATGAGAATAAAAACGGATTTTGACTTTCTTACCATGGTGAGAGTCATTCGGTCTATCTCATGCTTATCTTTGGTTTTATGTTGTCTGAAAGGGCTGTGACTGCAGAAACAAAGAAAATTCGATTACTAGATGGTTTTGGGTAACAGCAAATACTGTTGACTAATATGACAAACTATTATGTTCCGTCACTGCTCATTCAAAACTGCAGGAATACAAAAGCCATAAACATAGACCATTTCTAGAGGAAACCTGATGATCAGGTTGACAATCAGACATATTAGGTCCTGAACGAGCAAAGCTGATGTTTACTTGAACTCTTGATACTCATGTCAGTGAAGTCATGCTACCAGAATAAACTTTAGCAAATACATTCCAAATGACAATTTAAAATATCGCTTGGAAAAAAAAAATCAGCCAACAGGTTTTTATGAAAATGATAGTCATACACATGACATCTGTCACATTAGCATTTGAGATAATAGTAATGTTCACACAGCTTTTTTAGAAAAAATGGATAAGTCCCTCAAACAATGCAAAGAACTTCAGTAGAACCAAAACACAAAATGAACACACTCCCCCACCCCAGAACCGAGTAATTTTAAGAAATACATTCCTTTGGTGATAAGAGATACAAACCAACCCTGTGCTCCCAGACCCTCCAGGGTTCTGAGAACTGCTCACTCATGTTCTATCTAACTTACAAATGACTCCAGATCTAAGAGTCAGAGACACTGGGCTCATGCTGTGACTTGGCTATTGGCCATGAGTCATTCATGGAAACCTCGTCTCAGTCCCTTCACCTCTGCATGGCATAATACCACAAACATCACTGAAACAGTGAAAGGAACGACTAAAATAATGCATATGCTAGCAGATAAGACAATGGGAGGATATGGTGGGTAACTGATAGACATGAGACAAATGAATCTAACTTTACAAAATAAATGTCTCCTTGTAAAGATATTACTCTTACTCTTGATTATGTTTTTAAAATGCTGAAGCTAAAGTTAACCTTACACATCACTCACACATGACTCTAAAATACGACACAAATGAACTTGTCTACGAAACAGAAACAGGCTCACAGACCTAGAGAACAGACTGGTGATTGCCAAGGTGGAGGGGGGCTGAGGGGAGGGATGGATTGGGAGGTTGGCATCATAGCTGTCAACTATCATACACAGAATGGATCAACGACAAGGTCCTACTGTACAGCACAGGGAACTATCATCAATATCCCATGATAAACCATAATGGAAAAGAACAGAAGAAAACACACAAATACATGTATAACTGAATCACTCAGCTGTACAGTAGAAATTAGCATAATACTATCAATCAACTATGCTTCAATAAAATATTTTTTAAAATAAAGATGCTCCTAGCATCAAAAGAGACTAGTAAACATGCAAACTAGAAAACCCTGGCCTTATTTACTTACTTGAAAATTAAAGAAGGGACATACATGATAGGATTTTCTGGTAGTAAAGACATGTCTGCAAAATGACCAGTCCTACAGATTTATTTGGGCCTTCTCTGGAGGCTCAGACAGTAAAGAATCTGTCTGCAATGCAGAAGACCTTGGTTCTATCCCTGGGTTGGGAAGATCTCCTGAAGAAGAGAATGGCAGCATTCTTGCCTGGAGAATTCCATGGACAGAGGAGTCTGCTGGGCTACAGTCCACAGGGTTGTGAAGAATCAGATACACCTGGGCAACTAACACTTTGACTTTTCACTTTCATAGGTTTATTGATAAGGCATATAAAACATAAGTTGAGGGAAGATATTCCACAAAATAGTTCTATAAAACAGAGTAGAATGTTGAATCTATAACTCAATGTGACTTAGGAAAAAAAACTGCACCCACCCTTGCAATCAACTTACTGCTACTAAATTAGGTAAACTATGCACTGTACCATCTCTTGAAGAGATGATTCCACTTCAGAGTATTTATTATTTAAATATTTCAATTTTCACTTTGCACGAGAGGGGGCACTCTAATGCTTATTTTCTTTCTCATGCAATGAAAAACACATTAATTTCCATCTCTTGAAAGCCTTAATTTGGAAAAAAAAAAAAATCTAAATAAGGTGAATCAGTACCAAGCAAACATACACTAATCTTTCAAACAGATTTTGATTGGAAATATTCTTTGCACCCTAAATGTTTCCAAGGAGAAAAAAATGTAAAATTACTGCAGTTAAAAAGCAAATGGGATAGAATAACAAATAATAATGTTATTTACGAGACATTATAATTTTTCAAAACTTGACTTGTATTGCTTTCTCTTTCAGATTTATTTTTGGCAGTACTGGGTCTCCGCTGCTGGGTGGACTTTCTCCAGTTGTGACGAGCGGGGGCTGCTCTCTAATTGCGGTGCGCGGGCTTCTCGTTGCAGTGGCTTCTCTAGGCCACTCTAGGTGTGTGGGCTTAGTTACCCCGCTGCATGTGGGATCTTAGTTCCCTGACCAGGGATTGAACGTGTGTCCCCTGCAGGCAAATTCTTAACCCCTGGACCATCAGGTAAGCCCCGGCTTGTATCACTCCTGTATGCAAAACACGGAGATATGAATATGTTCACGGCTCAAGAGAAAAGGAGCACAGACTTCTCAGTGCTCACTAAGGCCTCAGTTCGTCTGCAAGAGACACTGCTGCCACTCCCCAGGGGAGTTCCTTCACATGTAAAAGAGGGTGTGGGAAGGTCTCCCCTGTTTTCGGCAAATCCTCCTGCTCTGGCTCCTGTGTGAAAAGCCAGGGCACCCCCTCCTGCTCTCGACCCTTGTGTGATGCCGGAAGCAGAGGGCTGTGCCCCACACTTGCAGAGAAGGACGGCTGTGTTCTGAAGGGATGCTCTGTGCTAAATTTAAAAACTCTTTCATGAGACCCGAGGGAGGGCTTTGCGAGGGGACTGGAGTTAAAGTTAGTGGTGCCAAAAACATTCCCAGCACATGCGCATGGTCGCTACAAACCCTGTTTGATAAATATAGCTCTCTGTGTCTGACTCAATAAGAGACGATCGGAAATGCTTGTCGGTTCTCGGGCTCTGGGGTGTCGTGTGGAGAGGGTTTGGTCTTTCAAGTCCTGATGCGCATCTGTTTCCAATGGTTCTTGATTATTCTTTGTGAACAAAACCCAAGATTCCATTTCTATTTTGGAAAATGTTAAAGAAAATCTCCGATAGTAATGATCTCCATTCTGAGGGAGGCACATGGGGCCCGCAGATCCTGTGTGATCACAGCTGCTCCCGGACGCAGCCGCTTTAAATAGGAGATGGTAACGGGTCTGTCAACAGCTTTCGACACCAGCCAAGCCCTCATGCAACATTTGGGCTGCATCGAAGGACATTCTGGAAATAGGATTTACATGTGCAGTGGCCAGATGTGGCATTGGAATTACAGAGAGTGCGAGAGCTGAGAATTTCACCCAGATGAGTTGGGAAATTGTTCAAGACATGACAAATGATGGGGAAACATACAGAGACACACACAAATGACACATCACATTCACAGTGAAACCGGAGCTCAGAATCAATCCGTTTATAAACACAAGTGATTAAAAAATCTTACATCAAAAATTAATTTTAGAATACCAAAAGACGGCACGCAACATCAAATGTGAGTTTTGAACCTGAGCCAACTGATGTCAAAATATTTATAAACATTCCTTTTTTCCCGAGAGGAGCAAACTCAGTAACCTCAGACAGAGCTCCACTCTCCCCAGACCACCCCCTGGGCTCTCCCCTCGTGTCTGACCATCAGCGGGGAGAAGTTTAAGATCAAGGCTATGGTCACACCAATTGTTTCTCTTAACAGATATCTGAACTCTAGCTTGAGGGTCATGACCACAATTCCGCATAATTGCAACATCTTTGTACACAGATGCTCTCCCATATCTGACAGTCAGCTGAAGTGGAAGCAGTGACCCCACCCAACACATGGTCCAGGGACGCAAACACACTCTCCAGTCTTGTCGGCATCCTCACATTCAGGTTCCTGTCTCTTGCACCCTGCAAAATCCTTCGAGGGTGTCACGACAGAACGAGAGGTGCAGAGAAATGTTTCAGCCAAGGAGATGGGGCATGGGGCACACTGGTCAGTGTGGGAAGTATCTGATCACAGAAAACAGAAGTGAAAAGACCCTTGGTGACCCCTGGTCACCATCACTGCACAGACACGGGAAGGATGGGAAGAGACTGGTCTGCAGCGGAGTTCCTCCTCCTCGGCTGGGTGACCCTTTGTGGGGGCAGTGGGGCATCTTCTGCAGCACCCGTGGCCTCGACCTGCAAGATACCAGAAGGAGCCCCTCCCCTAGCTGGCACCACTAAAAAGTCCCCAAGCGTTGCCAGGAGCTCCTGGGGTTTGAGTACGAGCTCTGGGGAGGGTTTGGCATGAAGTCTGGTTTATTCCATGACTGACGCTGCTGGAGCTTACAGTGTGGCTGCTGGAAAAACTGTGCCCAGCTCTCTGAACCTGTCCATGTGAGACACCATTTCTAGCCGCCAACATTGTCATCTCTTGTTATCCATCCATCCCATCCCCATGACCATCCTCTGGATGTCTTCCTGTCAGCCTAGACTCCCTTCCACAGGGGTCAAATCAACCACAATGCTTTAACCAAGCCTGATCAAGGACGTCACAGAGGAAGTAGCACCTTCCAACTCAGTGTTGCAGACTTGAACTGTGACCAAGGAGGACGGAATTCACTTTTTCAGCCACAAGTACACTGTTGGCATAGAGTTAACAACTGGACCCATCCTTGGATCTTATAAAACAGGAGTACATGGCAGACTATCCCTAGTCTATACGTGTGGACATTATTATAGACAGAATAACAACATTAGACAGAAATCAATAAACAAAGCAGTAAACCAAGGCTCTGCCATATTTCACAACCGACTTTCATAACTTGAGTTCATGCACAACAGTTTTGCTGTTGTGCAGTTTTTTTAAATTGTCTCATGATTCTGTAACTGTGGCTTCTGACCTCTGACTGCTCCCCCCACAACCAGAGGAGACCCAAATGAAGACAGTGTGTTTGGATGCACTCACCGCGCACGCAGGGACCCCCGCCAGCCGGGGAAACATCCCGGGTGGAAAGTGGTTTTCTCTGGTCTGCTTTGCAGAAACTCTCTAATTAGGTCAGCTAGTCTGATTACATGAATTAAGGCCCTCCAGGCTCCACAAACACAATAATTCAATTAAGGACCAACAGGACCTGAGTCTCTGAGCAGTAATACAATTTCAGTTCCCAAGTGAGGCGGTGAGCAATGAACAACTAGATTATCCAAGTCCTGGGGGAGCAGCCAGGGTGCCTGGAACCTAGTTTGGGGAGAAGACAGGGAATCCAGCCTCTTTCCAGATTGTGTTAAATAACATCTTATGGAAAAACATGAACAAACTTTTTGGCCAACCCAATATAAGAAGAACATGCTGTGATACTCAGTAAGGCTTTCCGGGAAAAACGTGGCAAGTTAAGCAAACTACCAGGCCTGTGTGTTCCTAGAGGAAATGTAACAGGGAGAATCCTGACCAGGAAGTTTTAATATAAACTGCTTTTTTGTGGTACCTCTATGAATGCAGAATAATCAAAAACACATCTTAAACACTTATGCTCTCTATTAAAATTGACTCAAGACTCTTTAAAACTAATGGAATGTTAACATAATTTGTAAATGTTCAATGTGAGAACATATCTCAAGAGCACTTTCATTCCATCCTCTTTCCACTGTACTTCATCATCTCCAGCAGTTTACATCAAAGGGACAAGTATAACACAAGTGAAGAACACAGAATTGCACAATTTTATCTTTATGTTTTTAAAAACTGCAAATTTCAGCATGTTCACAAACAAATGCACACTTTTAACACAGGTTCACTTTGGGTCTTCACCCTCTTGTGTAAGAAATGCTTTAAGCTCACAAGACAATCATGAGTAATTCATTTCTAGGGAAAAGAAACTCTCCTACCCTCTTCAATTATCTATATTTAAAAATAGCACTCACTCCCCAAATAAGGCTTAACAATGGAAATAGTCCAACACAGTCTTATTTTACATCTAAACGTGTTGGAATTCCTTCCTGGAGTGGGACAAAAATACCCAATGCTTACGGGAAGGAAACTCATTTTTACGGGCAGAAAAAGCTGTGAGCATTGCCTGGATCACTGTGTGGCTTAAAGATTGCTAGGTGATCTATACAGATACTAGCATCTAATAACACATAAATATTTCTTATCCTGATCCAAGGGCACACCATGGTTATGGACTGAAGGGACACATGTCACTCACCCTCTCAGAAGTTTGAAAAGCATACAGCCCAGGGAGAACCAGTCGGCACTGCTGTCATAGGCGGTCCCCTTCTGCAGAACTTCGGGCGCCATGTACCCATGGGTGCCACTGGGGAGAAGAAAGGGCATGTGTGGTTACCGGCGTGTTCCCGCTGACAAACTATTCCCAGCTCGTCCAGAGGTCAGGGCGCCATTCATCAAACAGCAGCAGGATGAACAAGGGGGAGGGGACATCGGTGCTTCCATCAAATATGGTTTGGCAAACACCCAATGGGAAAATGATATTTCCTTCATTAAAATAGGAATGAATATTAATGAATTACCATATGAGATAAACGTGAGCCATGTGCATGCTCTGGGCATGCTCCACGGTCTGGGAAGGTGAGATCTGAATCTTGTGAGCTTTCCCCACTACAGCGAGGGGCAGCCAAGGGTCTCCTGCCCGCTGGAGAGCTTTTGTGTGGAGATGTGTGGGGCTGGGGAGGTGGTGATGAACAGGTGACCACACTGCAGTGTTCTGGACCTGGAAGCGATGGGGACAGGTTAGTGCCTGTCCCCATCTGTGAGGACAGGTGACCATACTGCAACACTCTGGACCTGAAAGCGATGGGGACAGGCACTCCTGTGAGGACAGGTGACCACATTGCAGCACTCTGGAGCTGGAAGTGATGGGGACAGGTTAGCGCCCATCCCCATCTATGAGGACAGGTGACCACACCACAGCACTCTCGACCTGGAAGTGATGGGATCAGGCACTCCTGTGAGGCGCCACCCCCCATGCTGAGGACTGGGGTTTGCACAGGTGTCCATGGTGGCCCTCACCCCTCCACAGTCACGGTAGTCCCCAAGTGGTGGCGGGGAAGCCAACAGGTATGGAGACAGAGAAATCCCAGGTCTGAAGAGCTGCCGACAGGTCAAAGGACCCAGCTCAGCAAATGTGCAGATGGCTTGCAGGAAGCTGAGGAAAATCACCTGGGAGGACAACCGTTTACATATAATATGTTCTATCTGAGAATCAAAATCCTCTCCTGTCCTACAATGTGAGCACACACCATTCCAAGAGTGAGAGAAGGCTTGTGGGAAACTTTCAGAGGTGTGGGCACAAAAGGGTCCCCCAAAAGCCGTTATCCGCAGCTGTATTCCCATCTTTCATCAATTTTCTCCGCTGATGGAATGGGTGGTGAGGTGACACCTTCACCACCCAGAACACAAGTGGGATGGGCTCAGGGCAGCACTGGCACTTGAAAAGAGCCCCTTGCATTCTTATAAGCATTTCTAGCTTGCTTATGCTCAGTATTGGTGAGAATCTGTTCAGACGAGTGACCCTGGAGGTCAACACTGGGACTGTGTCCTCTCAGCCTCAGAGTTCCATCCTGAAAGACTTTTCCAAACAGTGGAAACAGGCACCAGTCCATCCATCGGAAAAGCTCCGCCCCTGCAACCCGAAGTCTGCCAGCGTGAGGCCAGCGAGCCACGCCGTGAGGACGTCAGCGATCTCCCTAAGGGACACCAAGCCATTTTCTGGGAAGGCTTAATTTCGGTGCGGCCAGGAAAACCTTGGTGGCTTTATAACCCGCGATTCTCAGGATCAGAACCCAGTCCTGGGAAGGGAAGACCTTGACAAGGAGATATACACAGGGTTAAGGCCTATCATGCCTCTGGGCGGACACCACCAAAGCAGAGCTCCGGACCAGCTGCCACGTGGATTTCAGCCTCTGCCACTCGGCAGCGCCCAAGGCTGCCTGCGCTTCCCACTGCCGGTCTGTGCTGTTCACGCTGAAAGAAGGCCCGAGCATTTGAAGGCATGGTGACTAGAGACCGAGCCTTGCATTCTTGAAGAAAATCAGCTGGGACTCAGCGAGTCACTGACGATCTGCTTGATTCCATGAAGTTTTCCTGTGTTGTCTGGTGGCTACTCCATGGGTCACTTTTAGTTTTTGAGAATCCAGTTCCATCATTTAAAGGACGGAGTCGGGGTCAAGATGGGGAACTGACCATGACGTTGCTCTGCCAGCATCACATGGGGTCCTGGGATCACACCTACCACTTTGAAAAGACCCGAGAAGCCCAGTCGAGGGTGAGAGTCTGGCCACAAGCCTTCAATCTAGTATCAGGTCCATCCTCTCAAAGACTCGGGGAGTTCAAACGAGTGTAGGGAGCTCAAGCCTTAGAGCTGGACAGAACTGGATTTTAACTCAAGCCCCACCATCTGCCAGGCCTGAGACTTTGTTCAAGTTCCTTAGTTTCTCGGAACTTCATATTCCACCCCATAAAAAGTCGATGATTATATCCATGCCCTATGCGGGCTTCTAAAGAGCCTCTTAATGGAAGTCTTGAAAGAAGAGAGTGAAAAAGTTGGTTTAAAACTCAACACTCAAAAAACAAAGATCATAGCATCCGGTCCCATCACTTTATGGCAAATAGATTGGGAAACAATGGAAACAGTGACAGACTTTATCTTTTTAGGCTCCAAAATCACTGCAGATGGTGACTGCAGCCACAAAATTAAAAGACACTTGCTCCTTGGAAGAAAAGCTATGACAAACCTAGACAGCATATAAAAAGCAGAGACATGACTTTGCCGACAAAGAACTGTATAGTCAAAGCTATGGTTTTTTCAATAGTCATGTATGTATGTGAGAGCTGGACCACAAAGAAAGCTAAGCACTAATTGATGCTTTTGAACTGTGGTGTTGGAGAAGACTCTTGAGAGTCCCTTGGACTGCAAGGAGATCCAACCAGTTCATCCTAAAGGCGATCAGTCCTGGGTGTTCACTGGAAGGATGGATGCTCAAGCTAAGGCTCCAATACTTTGGCCACCTGATGTGAAGAGCTGACTCATTTGAAAAGACCCTGATGCTGGGAACGACTGAGGGCAGGAGGAGAAGGGGACGACAGAGGATGAGATGGTTGGATGGCATCACTGACTTGATGGACATGAGTTTGAGCAAGCTCTGGGAGTTGGTGATGGACAGGGAGGCCTGGTGTGCTGCAGCCCATGGGGTTGCAGAGTCGGACACAACCGAGCGACTGAACGGAACGGAACTGTTACTAATAACAACATATTCAGGCCGCCAGCCACGTGTTCCTGGGACAGCCAACGTTCCACTCACAGCATGAACGCTGTCCCACACCGGTTACTTCCTGGACAGTCCCCCAGGCTGCTGTTCTGGGAGGTCAGGGAGCCCGTCGGCCTCAACCCTGCTGCACCACCAGCACGTGGCACACAGCCAGCGTCGGCTAGACCCTTTACTACGTGACGGAGGCGGCTGCACCCTCACAACGGTCAGGTGCAGTGAGCAGCACTGTGACGGCCTCTCTGCAGAAGAGAAAAATGAGGCTGGTGCCACGTGGAAGGATTCAAGCCCACATCTGTCTCGAAAGCCTCTGTTCTCCACCTCCTCCACCTAAAAACATACTTCTTCATTGAGAGTTTATCCTTTCTGAGTAGCGACCTCACTATCGCCATTTAAACATACTTCTTCACTGAGCATTTATCCTTTTTAAGTAGCGACCTCACTATCGTCATTTAAACATTCAAGATTCCCGACAGGGTTGGAAAGTTGAACCCTTTATGGATGCGGTTCAGATAACGGACAACACACTACCTTTCAGAGCTGGCTTGTGAATTACAGTAAGACGTGAGCGAGGCCCTATAAGGGAATAAGCAACCCTGCTTCTGAAAGTTAATTCCTTTGAGAGATTAACTCTTATGAGCTCTTGGGTTCATATATTCAGTTGTGACTATCCTAAATTGAAGAAATTAGCATATCAAATAGCTGTGGCATTAAAAATTCAAATGACTCTCTTTAAAATGTCTGATGAACTCCCTGGGAGAGGCTGATACATCCAACCCCAGGTTCTGGCCTCAAAATTGTCAAGTGCTGGCAAAATGCTAAGGCTTTTATCACCCTGTCCCACATTCTGCAGGAAGGGAGAGACATCTTTACAGAGATGGCACTAATTGCCATTAATATCTGATCACAGCTTTAAATGGCAATTCTGATTTAATGCAGCCCCTCGCAAAGCAGTTTTAGAACCATTTTACTTCTAGTCTCACAAAAAAAAAAAAAAAAGGATTTATAGTTTATTTTCTGCATGGATGCATGAAACAAGACCCCTGGGAGTTACTTAAAGACCATTCATCACAGCGATGATGCACAATAAGATGGAATGTTAAGACATTCACTGCTAAGACTGATACACTGAAGAAGAAAATAATCAAGGGAATTTTTTCCACAAACTGCACACCTGTCCATACTTTCTACACAGATAGCTGACATCAAAGAAACGGGAATGAAAACCAGTACATATTCTGAGCTGCCTCTGTTGAGTCCCGGGGCAGCCACCTCAGGCCTGCTGGCACTGCAATGATCTCAGGCTCAGGCAAGTCCTTGGGACAGTGTCAGCACGTGTGGAGACAGCACGGCCATCACTACAAGCAGTTCAGGGCCCACGAGGTGGGGCAGGGAGGGCCAAGAGCACGGGCTTCCGGCAGCTTCCTCTGCTTGGAGGACGGATGCAATATTGAAATCTAACAACAGGATCTGCATTAAAAGTTTGAACTGCAAGTAGATGATTCTTTTAATTAAAAAAAAAAAATCCTCATTTCTTTTTAGAAAAAAAAAAAAAAGGAAATGTTTTGAAAAAGAAGGAAGAGTGGATGGAGAGAGAAGCTGGACCTCTGGGCCTTCCCTGGAAAGCTCTATGTAACTGCCTGTGCCCCGTCCATGGCACATAAGCTGTGGGGTCCACTGCGACTGCTGCTCTGTATGAAGGCAGTGAGGGCCACAGAGCCAGCGTGCACTCGGCTCTGCTGCGAAGGCCCTCCTTCCCAGCCTCCCTGCCCCCAGGCAGCTAACACTGTGGGTCCCCCGCATGCCCCCCAAATAGTGAAAGCAATCACGCCACCCCACTTCTTTCCTCTCCCTCTGACCCAGCATCACCACATGTTGGAAACTACTGCTGACAAGAGAAAACTGGGAGAACAAACGACCATGTTGGGGTCTGAGTGAAAAAGTGAGTCAAACTAGGAGACGACAGTGAACAGAGTCAATGTGACTACTCACACACTCGCATGTGGCTTCTTTTTGGAAAAATCACAGGCAAGACCGAGGTCTGATATCCTCACGTGTCCGTGCTCATCCAGGAGGATATTGGCGGGCTAAAATGAAAGAGAAGGTGATTTCTGAGAGTCCCCAAGGCGTCCCGAGGCTTTGAGAACTTCCAAAATCACAGGCACTTGCTATCATTATTTTTATCACAGTTCATTCGTACACATGAATTCTAGTATTAATTACATCATCACCTCCAAGTGGGGCATGAGACCAGCAATGATACCTTTCATGTTATCAGTAACTTTAGCAGGAGAGTGGCACTGAAGGATGGAGAAGATGGAACACAGTGCAGGTAACACAGGGGGGTCACCACCACAGCTCATCACCGTTCAAGGACTTCCTTTCCACAGCAAGAGCTGCAGTCCAGCCAGAATGGGGTGTCTCTCCACAAAGGCAGTGAGTCCACTGGCTCCTCAGCCTCTGTGAACCACCAGGACTTTGAACCGTGGAACACAGCACAAAGGAATCTTGTAACAATGTACAAGTGGTGACCTAGGAAATCAAAATATTCCACGGTGCCACACTAATCCTGATAAACGTCATTTTGGTTTATTAGGAGAGAATCTATGGAGGGCCTTACCAAATGACCAGATATGATTTTGACCACAACTCTGATGAAATGTATCCATTAAGATTAGATTTAGTCTGCGTCATCATGGAAAACGAAACTCCCCTCCCTAATATACATTGAATTACAGTCATCTTGGTATTTTTCTGTTGGAGATCAACTATTGTTTTGCTAGAAATAAAAATAATGGCATGCCATTATAAAACTGAAGCATGAATAATCATGAGTGACTAGAATTAAGTTTGAATAGAAATTAGATAATACCACTGCCTACTAAATAGTTTAGAAAACAGAAATACCACATCAAGATGATTTGAGACCGGTTATAGATTTAAATTAAAATGTATTACAATGGCGCTTCATGGACTTTCAGCATGTATTTTATTCTTCTGCAAAATTCACCATGAGGAAATAAAATGTCATGTGCCAAACCAGGGTCTAATTATTTCTAATTTGATGAAAATACATTTTTTTCTCTTCTTTATGCTCCTATGAAGGCTACGGGAATAATTCTTTAGCTTTGCAGGAGGCTTTGAAAGTTACAGTGTACTTTGTGAAAAAAAAATAATATGCTCAACTGTGAAATACACCATTTTGGATTCTTAGGAGGTAACCTTTTTTAGAAGCCAATCAAAACACATGAGCTCCTTAGAGAAGGGGGCATTATCGGTACAATTGATCTGGTTAACTTGCGTTCAGTTTAACAAGGAATTGGAGAGAGGAGGCAAACAGGCTTCTCTGCGGGTTTCTCATCCTCTGGAAGCTGCCATGCCAATCACATTTCTTCTCACCATTATTTACACCTTTATGTGCCTGCATGATCATCTCTATAATTTGTCAAGGTCCCTTTCATCTGCTCCCCCACCTTCATGCTGCTGGCTACGTGAATATCACCTCAGAAGTGCCAGGCAAACCACCACCTCCCTCTCTCATGCAGGGTCCTGGACCAAGCAAGCATCGTGCTCTGGAATAGAAAAACTGAGAAAACACCTGCTTCAGTCTCTTCAAGTCCAGTAAGACTTTTTAAAGGGAGGCATGGTAAAGAAGCCTCAGTGTGGCAGACTGGGGCTATGGAGTTCTGGAACCTGGAAATCTGCTAGTGATTTTTTTTAAAACAATCTCGAAATCACCTGAGGTTCAGAGGGTAGGGGAAATTCTGCTGGCTGTCAGACACCCCCATTCCTACCTGATCAGCCCTGACTCTGGTGAATCAGGACTCAGTCTTTCTATGTGCGAGTTCACCAGTAGATATGTCCCATATGACATTGGTTCTCTGCTTCTTTATCTCTGTACACCTTCTGCCCTCACACCGAGCCAGGACCAAATCAGTTGCTTGGTGAACATTAACAGACTTATGATCAATTGTAAAATGGGTGACAACAAAAAAAACCCACCCTGCTTTTCATAATTAACCAACTAAAATATCTGAGCTGGCGTATGTGCTGCACCAGGCAGGGAGGTGACAGGGACAACCAGGAAAGACTGGAGTCCTTAGAAAAGAGTTCAGTGTCTGGAGGAGACCGAAATCATGAAGGTGATGTTCTGCTCAGGGCTGAGAGGAGGAAAATGATGGGATGGCATGAAAGAGGGGGAGACGTGTGGGGGAACACAACTACCATACGACACCTACTGCACATGTCAGACAGAAGGTGGGAACCTGTCAGACCACCTTACCTTCAAGTCTCTGTAAACGACAAACCGATTGTGCATGTGTTCCAGCCCCAGGATGATTTCTGTGGCATAAAACCGCATCTCCTTCTCAGAAAACACCCCGTGCTGTGAAAGGTGATAGTGCAGGTCACCCCCTGGAATCAGAGACGCAGAATGTAATTCGGTTCGTGAATTCCAGGGAAGCGAGTCACGGGTATCGTGCAGCATCATGATATGGTTGACAACGGTTAACTAACTTTATGCTTTGTCTACACGTATGACATAGATGTATCACTGACTTCTGTAATCTGATGAGACACTTTAAAAATCCCAGAGAAAACTAAATCACTGAGAAGACTCAGATTCGACAGTGGCCGGGACAACATGAACCCAAGCCTCCGCTCTCAGATGGACACCACAACACCCGTGTGTACCACTGGGGGGAGCGGGACGGAGGTGAGCGGATCTTTTGATGACTACAGTCCTGTTTCCTAACTGAATCACCCTCGTAGTGAGGTAGTATGTAACTGGCTCTGTGGACAGTAAATATGGAGACAAAATAAATACACTGCTCATATTGACAGATATTTGAGAAAGCAAATACAGTAAAATTTTAACTGGTAAAACCCAGGTGGTTGGGTGTTTGGGTGTCCCTGGTAAAATCCTTTCAGTGTTGTAGTACCTTTGAATTTTTCATAATAAAGGGTTGGAAAAGATCAATGATCATATGGCCTCCAGTTACAGAGACAGAGAATGCCACCAACAGGGTAAGGGAATGTTCTCATAAATGATAAAGGCGGAGTCACAGCTGATTTACAGAGGTTCACGTGTGTTCAATTCCATTACCTTTGATTCCCTAAGTATCTTCCTGTTCACACACGCATATTTTTATGTAACTATTTTCGACCAGGATGTAAAAGATTTCCAGCATTGCTGAAGGCTCCCTGTGCCCACCCCAGGCAGTATTATCAGCTCACAGCCCCTCATTACAGTCAACTGGACTCTACTCTGACCTCTGCCCTCATTGATTAGCTTTGCCAGTTCTGACAGTCACACAAATCGAGTCATGCAGGAAATATGCTGCTGTGTCTGGCTGGTCTGCTCATTATTACGTCTGTGAAATTCCTTCATGCTGTTGGATGGGTCTGGTTCTAAATCAAAAACTCAAAACATAATTAAAACTTCAACTGAACTTCAAAACAGGTATTCATTTATGGAAATATATGCTTTTCCATTTCAGCCCCTGTTACTAAAAATGCTTTGAATTACATCATGTCACTTTCTAGTATTAGAAAACTGAGTGAATGAGTGAGTCAAAGCTGCTCAGTTGTGTCTGACTCTTTGTGAACCCATGGACTGCAGCCTGCCAAACTCCTCTGTCCATGGGGATTCTCCAGGCAAGAATACTGGATTGGGTTGCCATGCCTTCCTCCAGGGCATCTTCCCAACCCAGGGATCGCACCCAGGGCTCCCGCACTGCAGGTGGATGCTTTACCATCGAGCCACCAGGGAAGACTGTTAGAAAATCACTTTCTGGCTTAAGTTCTTCCTGCATTCTCCAGTTCATCATTGACAGTTTAAAGACTGATATATGGTGGGTCTGGACTAAAGGTACAGACTACTGGGCTAATATCTGAGCTGGCCCAGAGTCAGTCCTTCACAGTTGGTTTTTAAATACATTCCTGTCTTTGGCCTATGAACCTTTAGGAGACATTTCATTCCTAAAGTTGATGGCCAGCTGGCTGCAGTCAACTTTTTAAAATGAAGTTGAACTGGAAATTCAAAGAGTGAAAGGCTTCCTTAAACTTGAGGGGGAATCTAATTATCTGAAAGACCCAAATGGCCAGTCTGTCTGGAGCAATGCAAGCTAAGATAAAACATCCTGAAACAAACAACATTACAGCAGAGTCATTCAATGTGTTCAGACTCCCCAAGTCTTGCTTACCGTTCATCAGATCTAAGATGAAGCACAGTTTATCTGGAGTGTGGAAGGCATAGGTCATACAGACGATGAAAGGACAATCCTAGAGTGAAAAAAAAAAAAACAACTATGTATGTATATATATATATATATATATATATACACACACACACACATATATATAAGAAAAGCAAAAGCTGTCCTGGAAAGTACATCTACTACCAAGTGTCATCTATACATTTTTTTTTAAGCCATGACACTGCCCTGTATGTGAAACACAGACACCTATGTGGTAACTTTAACAGACCCAGGAAAGCGAGCCTGATTCCATTGGAAAAAAATGCACAGAGATACAAACACTGCTAATTGGAGATGAACTCAGAGATGCTCTGTCACTCTAATTAAATCATGACTCCTCTATCTACATCTTCAAAAGACTCAGATTCTAGAGAAAAATATTACCGCCTTGCTAGTCCTCCTATTGGTCTACACTTTGGTTCTGGTTATAGTCACATATCCATTTCAATGTCTGATTCTGAGCTGGAAGAACCTTTATCATGGGTAGAAATGTTCCTTATATTACTGTCTTGAAACACTGACAATAAAAATGGAATTTTTAAAAAATGGAATTAAATCAGCTTTTGAAAGTGGAAAATATACGAGGGTGGGGGATAGAAAAACTAAATTGTAAAGATGTCAGTTTTCTCCCAAATTAATCTATACATTCCATGTAAACAATTAAAATGGAAACTGACAAACTCATCCCCATATTTATATGGAAATGTAAATAGCTAAGAAAAGTTCAGATAACTCTTGAAGAAAAATAAAGCTGAAACTTCTGTTCTTCAGAAGACACTATTAAGAGAGTAAGAAAGGCAAATAACAGAATGGGAGGAGGTATTTGAAATCCACATATATCTTGAATATATACAGAACTCTCATCAATCAATAAAGAAAAAAGCAAACAACCCAACAGGAAAATGGCATGATAGCAACAACAACATCAACAATACTGCATATATGTTACTGAGTATCAAATAGTCTGTAAGTCTTTAAACAGATGCTAGACCTCAGCTGTCCCCCAAGGAAATGCAAACTGCAAATCACAATGCTTCATCACTAAAACAAAGGAGAATGACTAAAATTACAAAGACTGATGATACCAAGTGTTACAAAGATACAGAGTTAATGGGACTTGCAATATGGTGGCTGGGAGGACACAATCATACAACCACTTTCACAAGGCATTTGATGGCATCTGCCAAAGTTGATCACTACCTGCACAGCCTATGAGCCAGCAATTCCAGCCCGGGGTATTTACCTAACAGTAATCTGTACTCATGTGCACCAAGGGACCTGCATGAGAATGGTCCTCACAGCACTATTCAAAATAGCCCAAACCAGGAAATAATCCCAATGTCTGCCAACAGGAGGATGGACACACGAACTGTGGCACATTTATATGATGGAATACTATAGAGCAGGGGTTGCCAAACTTTTTATGAAAATGGGCTAGACAGTAAATATTTTAAGCTTTGCAGGCCCCATCCAGTCCCCGTCACATAGTCTTTCCTGCTTCTTTTCTTTACCATTTCTTCTCTGCTGCCTTTGCTTTAAAAAAAAAATTCTTAGTTCATAGGCTGTGAACACAAGCCAGATTTGGTCCCCAGGCCACACACATAGCCTGGTGACCCTTCCTATTTAGCTACAGAAGGTGCTGTTGCTATGAGCAACAACTCAGCTGCATCTTGCAAGCAACACTGAGAGAAGCCAGACACAAAAAGAATACATTTATATAAAGTTCCAACAGGGGCACAGGTAAATTACAGTGTCAGACATCTGGGTAGTAGTTAGCTTGGGCATGGGGTGAGCAGCTGAAAAGGGTAAGGGGAGACTTTTGGAACATGGGTGACTCTGTCTCTTGACCTAGATTCTGGATACACGCATGTGCTCCCTGGTGAAAATCCACTAGATAAAGCACTAGGTCCCACTGAGATACATACACAGTGAACACTTGCCGTTCAACTGATTCAAATAACAAACAGCATCAAATATCTACATCTATTTTCTCAACAGAAGCAAAGAATTATTAAATTCTACAGAACATACTCAACTTTCAATAGAGTACACTGTGAACAGAATTCACTTTGCTCTCACCTATAGATGAAGGGCATACAGATGAATTTGTGTGGACACATGCCTGTGTACTCAGGATTCGTGAACTTGAACTCAATTTCCACAAGTCTTCTGGAGGAAATTCATTTTTGTGGTTACCTTGTTTTCCTTAAGAGTTCAGTTGAGATGGTCTTGGTGTTCACTAATTTAGAGATTTACTTTGTTTTATATAGTCGTAAAATAAAGGTGCTGTCCTTTATCAGTTAAAAGCTATCTGGTTCTTGGGGGCAGGGTGGCACCATCCTAATTGGAGCCCCACAAGTGTTTCACCAGACCTTTCCATAGTCTGCTGGTGACGACTCATTCTGCTCTAAATATCATGCTCCTTCCTTAATGGGGTTCCCCACGTTCTCTGGTTCCTGATCTAATGAGCAATTCATCTCTAGAACAGACAAGTGGGTGGACCAGGAACTTAGTAAAGCCTGGGTCTTTTCCCGCTTGAGATAGCAACCCCACTCACTTCACCCAGGGGACCAACAGAGCCTGGAAAGGGGTAATTCCGAAAAAAAAAGGGTCAAGCCCTCCAAACAAAACCCCGAAAAAAAAACAAAAAGGCAAAAGGGAAGTAAAAAAACAAGGCAATAAAAAGCAAAAAAAAATGGAAAATTAAAAGCCGAAGCCAACGGAAAAAGAAAGGCCCCCCCAAAAAAAAAAAAATCACCTGGTCCAAATTCTTTACTTTAAAGATGAGGAAACTAAACACTGTGTCCCCGCCCCCCTCCCCCCACCTTCTAAAAGGGAAATGACTTGCCTGAGGCCACAAAGAAATCTGGTAGCCAGCCAAGATTCAAACCCCAAGTCTCCCACTCTGGACCCTCACCAGACCCTGTCCTATGTCACTCCACTTACAAAGGTAACGTTTCCATAGCAATGTAAAATCAAAGCTCAGTTAAACGGATGTGATTTGGTTATCTCTAAGGAGTTCAATGACCAGGATCCCTCATCTCTTAGGCCCTGAGCAGATGCCATCTTGAGTCTTGGGTGGGGTCCAAGACACAAAGAACTGAATGCTGACCCACACAGACAAACAGGCAGCAGTTTAATAATGGTGTTAGCACAGATTCTAAGATAATTATGGCAATGTTCTGTCTTGATTACAAATTCAAGGTGAATAAGAACTAGGGGGTTCTCACAGGTGGATCCTTAAATAAAAGCTCTTAAGCAAGGAATTATCTCCTTTTTTTTTTTAAGGTTTTTTTTTTTTTTGGTGGCATGCAGGATTTTAGTTCCCCAACCAGGGATTGAATCTATGCCTCCTGCATTGGAAGCATGAAGTCTTGACCACTGGACTGCCAGGACGTCCCTGGAACTGTCTTCTTTGATTTCCTAGTGAATGAAACAGTCTGCATTTTACAGGAACTTAAACTGTGATAAAACAGATCACAAAGTAGTCCTCCAGAAAAGTTCTCTGCCCTGCAGTAAGAGGAACTGTTTCAGAATTGCAAGGCTTATTAAATGGCTGTAAAGATTTTTTAAAGTCCTCGGTACTGGTCCAGAAAGCTCTTTCTGCTGGTCTGGCCTCTGTCTGCTTCCCTCTCTCCCCAGCTTCCCCAAGTGGTCCTCACTGCATCACTTCAGAGCCCAGCGGTGCTGACCTGTGAGTCCCCAGAGCTCCCGTGCTCAGGACTCACACACAACCCGGCGTCCCCTCCGACCCCAGAGGACCGCCCTGTTAAACACCTTCTGAGCACTACAGAGGTCCAGAAAGCTCTTTCTGCTGGTCTGGCCTCTGTCTGCTTCCCTCTCTCCCCAGCTTCCCCGAGTGGTCCTCACTGCATCACTTCAGAGCCCAGCGGTGCTGACCTGTGAGTCCCCAGAGCTCCCGTGCTCAGGACTCACACACAACCTGGCGTCCCCTCCGACCCCAGAGGACCGCCCTGTTAAACACCTTCTGAGCACTACAGACCTCTCTTCCACAGGTCTTGCCACGTGTTCCAACAATCAACACATGTCTTGAGATTTTCTGAGTAAACACTGCTCTCATTTTACGCAGCTCTGTAAAAGCAAAAACCAAATTCGCGTTTCGGGACCCCTGTCTTGTAGCAGAGTATCTGGCACAATCGAAGACTCAAGGATGATCAGGGAATGAATAAGCAACACTCCTCATGAATAACTCACTGACTTAATGAAGGTGCTGATGGCTCCTCCCAGTAATGGACATACTTGCCCTGATTCCCTTTTCATGACCCAAAAGTTACGGAATAAAACTGGGAACAGTACTTCTTACTGTCTCTTTTGGGGGTGAGAAGTAGGAATTCTCAATTTGAGATTGAAACAGTAAAACAACCTCCAAGCAGAAAGAAAACTCTGATGGTGACTCCAGCTTATTTCCATGCCAGCACCTTAGGTAATCATATTGACACAGGCTGATCAACAAACACATCACCTAAGGAGGCAATTTTAAACTAAAGGTTACTTAAATCCTACAAACTGTGGCCTTTGATCAACAAAGATGACTCTAAATAAGCTTACTACAATTCTTTTGGTTAAATTATGCACTTACAATGTTTTAAAAAATGCTAAACGGTCTTGATATTTGAATAAAAAACAGAAACAAGTCTTAAATTAGTTCAAAGCAGTAGCCCAACATAACTGCAATTTTTTTATTTACTCCCTTATGGGCAGACCAGTGAGGAATTCTACAACTACTTAATCACATTCTGCTCACCTGAATAAAACAAAAATGCTACATGAAAATTAAAATTGTTCATATATTTTTCCAACACCCTCAATTTTTTTCCATAGGCTCTCCTGGGAATAAACATCCAAGGCTTTGAGATAAGACATTAAAAATTAATATTTTAATAAAGCACTTAAAGTCTGCAATAAGCACACATTCACATCTGAAATGAAGACAGAGACATTTCCAACAGATACTAGAAACCAATGTCATTCACGCTGATTCCAATACAGTGTGCAGGCCACTCAGATGCCATTCCAAACAGTTAAAATCTTGGTCACACACACAGAGCGGTGCACTCTTACTTGAAATGTTTAATGTCTACATGTTGGCAGGCAGAGGTGCATAATTAAGACATTACTGTTCATAGCGATGGCATTTTCATCTGTTATAGTTAAACTAAATTATGATATTCATTGACTTCAATAGTAAATAGCCTTTCTAGAAGCACTTAAAACTAACACTAGAATAACATAAACCACAACACAATAAATGTATCTGGCGACAAGAAAACATGGAGCCTACAAAGGGATGAGAAAAGAACACTGGGATCCTCTAGAAGTCCAGGGACTCTGGGCAAAGAAATGATGTCCCTGGATCTCAGGTTCCTTGCTTATCAGCTAAAAGGAATGCCTTGAGTCATCATGAAGACTTGAGTCTTCGGAAACCTCTGGGTGAAGGTGACCTTATTTAGAGCCCAGCTGTGACCACTGGAAGTACCCCTAGGCTCTGCGCCTCTGCGCCTCACTCGCTGGGGTACACGGGCAATGCCCAGGTTTCTGGGACCGTGGGTTTTCCTGGGTGTCTTTACATATATCTGCCCGAGTAAATAAAAGCTGAGATTTTGATCCTGGGTGATGCCATTAACAGGAAAACAAATCAGAGCGGGATGTTGCTTTACAAGTCAAGATGACACAGGGTGAAGCTGGCTTTGACACGTGATGAGCTCAAAATGACAGCTGGAATGTATGAATAAACAGACCACTGGGCAAAAATATGGTGCTGGAGATGGGAAAGACCAGCATCCACAGCAGGGAAAGACGGCAAGTACCAGGAAGACAGGGTCCCCTCCACGTGAAATATGGACTGGCTGCTGCTGCTGCTAAGTCGCTTCAGTCCTGTCCAACTCTGTGCGACCCCATAGACAGCAGCCCACCAGGCTCCGCTGTCCCTGGGATTCTGGGGAGCACTCCAAAGGGATAGTTGGGGGTTGACGAAGCCACATCACCTCCTCTCTGTTTGTGAAGGAGGGACGCGACGTTCCTCTTAACTTTTTCTCCTCTGGGTTAGTCCTTCGCTGTCATGCAGTCAATTCTTAACTATATTCAGGTGATTTTTTTGGTCACTGATACAATTATATCCTGCCATCTCTGTCATATTCCACAAAGAAGGAAGTCATAAATGTGCAGTGAAGGGACAAGTGGTCAGTGTGAATGGCGATGGCCAGTAGTATGTTCCTAATTCCCAACTCAGACAGAGGTCATCTCTGAATTATTATTTATATTAACTTAGTGCTGCTGCTCCCTGCTATAAATTCTAATCCCCTCAAGAACTGGCTAGCTGCATAATTCACCAGGGGAAAAAAAAAGCTGTATTTTAAATAAATTGTCCTGATACAAAAAAAAAACAAAAAAAAACAACCCACCAAATAAATAGCAAAACACACACACACATAAGTGTAATGTTCAAAACTGAATACTCACTCCTGTGCTCACCAGGGACAACATGATCCTTTCATTTAAGGCTAAGGTTTCTCCCTGTTTCATCTTGATTCTCTTCTTATCCAAGCATTTCATTGCATACCTGGAACCATAAATATTACTGAAGAAAATCTATACAGAAAATATATCTAAGTGGATATAAATGATACACATCATATTGGGGGAAGTTCCTAAAAATTTGGGAAGTCTTTCAAAGCAGCAAAATGCTTCTAAGAGACTAAGGGAATCTGAATAAAGTGGAGACTTCAGTCAGTAACAACACATCAATATCTGTTCATTCATTGTGACACGTGTCCTGTACTACGGTAAGAGCGATGCGGAGTACATAGAAACTGCCTGCACTATTTTTTTGCTCCTGTTCTCCAAACCTAAAATTATTATAAAGTGAAAAGGCTATTTAAAAAAAAATCAAGCAATAATTAAGATATTTCTATTATATGAATTGACATTTCAGTTAAATAAGAGCAATAAAGTAGATACACAAAAAATTCAGGGAAATAAATTTTGTATGTGTCCCTACTGTCTAGTACTTGTGTGTGTGTGTGTGTTTTGTAGGGGTGGGGCCTGTACTATAATATTTAGTGTGTGGGAATTGTGAATTAAGCACTGGTCAAGATTTTATAAGTGTGTAGAGGGTAAGATTCTAAAACACTGATCATCGACTAAATGGGATTTTCTTTGAATATGAGTATAAAACCCTCTTAATATTCCCAGCAAAATATACAAGTGTAGAATGCTTACATCTTTCCAGTGTCTGCTTTCCTGCAACCGTATACTTCACCGAATCCTCCTCGTCCAATGATCCGATGCACACTGAAATCATTCATGGTCAACTGTGAATTTAAAATGCGACACAGAAACGTAAGACTGCGTAAAAACTACCCCACTGCTTTCATGTAAAACACACACAGTTATTGAAACAGCGATTCTGACACTGCTGCCCTTTCGGCGACTGGCCCCACAAACTGAGAGATAAGAAGCACAGGTGGCAGGACATTCTAGAACTGCCTTCGATGTAAACTGCACAGGATGCAAACCATGGAGGCAACTGGGAAGACAACCTGGTGGGAGCCCGTTGTTTTATCCAGTCCCATGAATCTTAGATTATAAGATGTATACTTTCAAGACAAGTGAATGTGAAATTTCCAGGCAAACTACAAAGTGACCTCGGCTACTCTGAAGCTGAAAGTTTGGGAACGGTTCAGCCATTCCAGGAACTTCTGTGGTAGAAAAACAGGTCTGCATCAAGGGCATGTATGCTCTCCTAACAGTTGGACCATATGATCAGAAAGCCTAATAAATGCTGGCCATGTGAATTTTTTTCTCAAAAGCATCAGTAAGTAGAGAGGACTCATGCTGGGCACGTGAGTGAAAGCAGACCACGTGTGAGTAGCTTGACAAAGAGGCTTTCATTCATAAGCACGAGGCTTTCATCAATATCATCTCAGCAAAGCCTTGCTTCCCAAGAAGTCCTCATAGCACCAGATGGTACAAAGGCAAAGAGAGAGTCCTATGTTCATGGTAAGAGGCCATCAGACAATAGCAAATGCTTTTTGTTACGTATCCTGGCAAAAGAAGGGTCAGATCCTTGAAGTGTTTCTCCAGACAACCCTTCAGACGTCATGTCTGCAGCCAGGCAGGGGCACCCGGCCCTTGAGCTTCACGCTTGCTGCTCAGAGGATAGGACGTGAAAATGTGAGGACACCACGTCTGCTAAAGGAGCGCAGGCACTAGGAAGATCCACAGCAGAGGTAAGGGTTTTTTGGTATTGTTTGTCCGTTTTTTGGCCATGCGGATGCATGCAGGATCTTAGGTCCCCGACCAGGGGTCGAACCCTCGTTCCCTGTACTAGAAGCACAGGATCTTAACCACTGGGCCCCCAGGAAGTACCATTTCTTTAAAAAATGTGTCACTGCCTCTTGCTTCTCAGTCCTGCTGGAAATGGGGTAGAGAGGGGGAATTAAAAAGAAAAAAAAAAAAAAACCCACTTCTGTGAATGGTACTGTTCAACTAAAAAAATTTTTTTTAAAAATCAAAAACAGAATCAAGTTATTTCTTTTTCTCAATTGCAAAGCTCTGTGGAGACAGAGCACAGGGAAAGGGGAAGAGACATGAACACTCTAAAAGTGAAGTAAAGAATGTGCCCCAGAATTCCTGACGTGGAAAAGCTAAGAGAAGATGCAGTACTGGGGATACAAGCTAGGAAGTATCGCGCCTTTGAGGACTGCTTTCATTCTCAAAACAATAAAAAAGATGCAACTGCGGTCTAGTAAGAGATATCATCATGTTTATATCATGACTGCACCTAATAAGAAAAAAAAAAACAAGGAAATTTACCAGGATGGCAAATGACACGGGCACAGGAATCACATGATGTAGAAGACTTGTATCTTTACCACTACTTCTATTAAAAGCTTAATTATGGCTTAAAATATCCTTCCTTAAATAAATAAATGCATTCTTATATGAATATGAAAAAAAGGATGAAAACGCAAAGTGTTTACAACTGGATATGGGAGGATGGATTTTTCATGCGTAAAGCTGTAAGCACGACATCTGTTTGGGCAGCATGTTACCCTTGGGAGTATGCTGCCGAATGAAATATTTTCTCACGAAGCTGAGCCAAAGGAAGTTTTTATTTAAAAAAAGAAAGGCAAAGAGGATACTCACATGGATATTTAATTCCACGTTTTTCCACTGACAAAATCTGGTGAACTTGTCACTGAAAAAGAATGTGAGGAATTACTAAAAAGTTAAATACCATGTTAACTGAGAAACTGGCACTGTATACTTGTGTGACTTCTCAAAGTGAGCTTTCCATAAACATTTTTTTCACAAAGCATTCGCCTAGCACTCAAGGCTTTATTTTACGATTCAAATTGAAGACTTCATGTTTCTGCTTTAATTGTCATTATGTTATGGTAACAATCTTTATCTGAGTCGGTACTGTCCAACAGATGGGTAACAGATGACACATAAGTAATTTAATTTTAATAATGTATCTTATTTGAACCAATATATCAAAAAATTATCATTTCCACATGTAATCAATATAAAATTTTAATGAGACAGTCTCATTCTTATTTTTGTATTGCTTTGAAAGTGAAAATCACTCAGTCGTGTCCAACTCTTTGTGACCCCATGGACTACACAATCCATGGAATTCTCCAGGCCAGAATATTGGAGTGGGTAGCCTTTCCCTTCTCCAAAGGATCTTCCCAACCCAGGGATTGAACCCAGGTCTCCCGCATTACAGGTGGATTCTTTACCAGCTGAGCCACAAGGGAAGCCCAAGAATACTGGAGTGGGTAGCGTATCCCTTCTCCAAGAGATCTTCCCAACCCAGGAATCAAACCGGGGTCTCCTGCATTGCAGGCGGATTCTTTACCAACTGAGCTATCAGCAAAGCCCCTGAAACTGGTTTGAATCCATTGCTTTGAAACCCGGTGTGTATTTTGCATTTATAGCCCATTTTTATGTAAAACTTCATAGAGAGAACAGACTTATGGTTCTCTATGTGAGAAAGGGTGAGAGGCGTGGGGGAGGGCTCGACTGGGATTTGGGATAAGCAGATGTAAACTATTATATATAGGACGAATACACAACAGAGTCCTACTGCATAACACAGGGAACTAGATTCAAAATCTTGTGATAAACCATAATGGAAAAGAATATGAAGAAGAATATATATATATGTATATATGTATAGCTGAATCGCTTTGCTGTACAACAGAAATTAACATTGCAAATCAACTATACTTCAACAAAATTAAAAAAAAAGTGAATGGTCAATTCAGTGGGAGACAATGACTGTGCAGGTTTACCTGGATACACAGTGGAGTTATAAGACCTCTTTCCCAATTTCAATTACCATCCCCATTTCTCCCCTCATCCCCAAGGGTCACAGAACAATGAGTTGACCCAAGAGTTTGGCAAAAGTCAGATCTTTAGAATCAGCAGCCATGGAGACGGCCGAAGACTCAGCTGAATCTTAGCCCTGAACCGGGGTCCTGGCCCCTCAGTTCCATGCCACTGCTTTTTGGCAAAGCCCCTCTGGTCCTGCTCAGAAAATGTAATCATTTGTATGCAGATTCATTTCCCACAGTACTGACTCTACTCCAAGATAAAATTATCTCTTGAACTCTGGTAGAATCTTGACACAACTTTTTAAAAAATTACTTTAGTTCTGTGAACATGTGGAGAAGAAGGAGAAAAAGCAAAACAAAACACTGAAGCATTTGTTCTTAAAGGGCAATTACTGAACAGCTGGGCTGCTCCCACCCTGAGGCTCGATCATCATGACAACTGTCTAGAAATTAGCTGAGCTTACAGAGAAGAGCAGAGTCCATGTGAACGCAGATTCAGAGTCAGAAAGTCTGATCCCTAAGGTGCATCATCGCAGAGGAACACTCACAACACTGAGGGGCTGACTCTTAGGTGCCTGGGAAGCATGTGAACACTTTCATAGGCATCCCTGAAATTTTTTAAATTTACTTTTTAAAAAAAATTTATTTTACACTGGAGTATAGATGATTTACAATGCTGTGCTAGTTTCAGGTGTACGGCAAAGTGATTCAGTTACACATATATCTATTCTTTTTCAGATTCTTTTCCCCTTTAGGTTACTATAAATATCAAGTAGAATTCCCTATGCTACACAGTAGGTCCTTGTTAATTACCTAGAAAGTTTTCAGGATTTTATATGACAAACATACTCTATAGTTTGAGTAACCCAAAGGGACACATTTATTGGGTACGTTAATGACAGACATGACAAAAGACATCTGCCAATATACCTAAATTCTACTATGTAAAGAATCAAGAAAAGAGTTGTCTCATTTTTAAGGATATGACTTTAACATATAAACAAATGAATTGAATATAGACTCATGCTTGCATCAGCAAACATGTCCCAATAAGATACTTTCAATATTGAGGTTCCCTAGTCTATTTACATTTTGGATCATTTGGAAACTAAAAAACTAAAAGTCAAAGGCATGTTAAGATATACAAATCCTAAATTATAAAGTATAGAGGGCACAAACTAACACAAAGCCTGGTACAGAGCACATGGATAATAAATGTTTGTTGAATGAATAAATTAACACATTTTAAGGATAGCATCTATGGGGTAAAATGAGGTAAACCTACAAAGTACAAGATTTAAATATCATAGCCCAGTCGGTAAAGAATTGGCCTGCAATGCAGGAGACCCGGGCTTGATTCCTGGGTCGGGAAGATGCTCTGGAGAAGGAAATGGCAACCCACTCCAGTATTCTCACCTAGAGAATCCCAAGGACAGAGGAGCCTGGCAGGCTCCATGGGGTCACAAGGGTTGGACACGACCTAGCAAATAAATCGCCATACTAACATAATGTTACATGTCAAACGTATCTCAACAAACAAAAAAGACTTTGTGCTTAAAGTTTCATACCTTTCCATGAATTTTTGAAAAATGCTGCCTCGAAGACTTTCACAAATTTCTTCTATGTATGGCTGGAAAGGATGGAAAAAAAATTCCACACTGCATCAGTAAGAACACAGTAAAGTGAAAAACACAAGTGGATGAGACCCAGATGTGGTGAGGTTCCCAATTATGTGCTCCCATAATCATCAATAACCTCAGATATGCAGATGACATCACATTTATGGCAGAAAGTGAAGAACCAAAGAGCCTCTTGAAAGTGAAAGAGGAGAGTGAAAAAGTTGGCTTAAAACTTAACATTCAGAAAACAAAGATCATGGCATCTGGTCCCATCACTTCATGGGAAATAGATGGGGAAACAGTGGAAACAGTGTCAGACNATGACGGAGGATGAGATGGTTGGATGGCATCACCAACTCAATGGACAGGAGTTTGAGTAAACTCCGAGAGTTGGTGATGGACAGGGAGGCCTGGCGTGCAATAGACCATGGGGTCCCAAAGAGTCAGGCACGACTGAATGACCGAGCTGAACTGAACTGACAGCACCTTGTGCTCGCCCTCCTCAGCGCCTGTCCAGTTTGCACCGATGGATTCACGGGCATGACTACTTGCTTAGCAGTCATCTACACCACTCACTGGCGTGTTCCCTGAAGGCAAGGACAGGGCTGTCCCAGGTGCCACTGCGTCTCTACTGTCTGGCACAGCTCACGGCAAGTCAGACATGCCTTCAATGCCTGGAATGAGCTTCATGGGCATGTGACACATGCAGCCCCACAGAAGAGCCCAGTCCTCGGTATGGTACCCTACTGTGGCCATCCTGAAATTCCTGAACAAGGACCCCCACGTTTACACTGTGTACTGAGCCCTGTACATTATGTAGTGGCAGTCTGTAAATTACAATTAATTATATCATTGCCATTAATTACAATTATCATAAATGATCAGCATTAATATTGAGTTTCAAAGACTAAAAGTGAAGGAACCCATGGAGTAAAACTTTTTTTTAATTAGCTATTTGCAAGGTCTTTGAGCAAGTTCATGGCTAAGTCGAGATTAAGGCAAGGACTCCTGGTTCACATGTGTGGGGCTCTTTCCCTATGGAGAACAATCTGCTTCAATTTCATGCCACTTTACACATTACCAAATAAACCAGATAAGTTTATTTCCCATGGGGTAGTCTTCAAATCAAGAGTGATAAAAATATCAAATGCCAACACTTCGTAACTCAGCCCAGGGGCAATTAGCTATTTCTGGAAAATATCATGATACCCTACTCTCTTCTTTAATGATGGAAATTTAATGTTTTCTGTGTCTTTCTAGATTATCTCAAAAATGTGCAAAAAAGAAGGACCAAACATCAAGAGATGTCCAAGGCAAGCCACAGTCACCAACATGGGCAGTGAGACCACTGCAGCTCACCTGGGAGCTTCACTTCCTACCATGGAGCTAAGCTAGCCTCCACCACTTGGCAGGGCTATCAATGTCCTGGGCAGGGCACTGGGCATAGTTCACTAAAACCAAATGGACTTGCTCTCTCCTTAGTAACAGGGGAAGCTGACCTCTCTCTCTCTGAAGCTTTTTGCAGCTCCAAAGTCCTATGTGTCTATAATGAAAGATAATAGTCATCTTTGCCAAGTCTTCTAGATGCTAAACACCAAGGCCACAAGTCTCAAGAGGTTCAAAAGATATTAAGTGTGCAAAGATGTATGAAAGACTAAATTTGTAGAAATTTAGAAAACAGATTTTCTATTTACAGAAACTCTTATGTTAACATTTTTTTTCATATTTTATAAAATATCCTGTACCAGAAATTCTTAAGACCAGATATGATATACCACACTGCCACTTTCAACATGAAGGACCACAAAATGTGTCAGATGAGCAATGCAAAAACCAAAGTTCAATAGTGGGGTCATGAGCAAACGACCTCACTGCTCTGATTCTTGGTTTCCTCAATCTGTAAGATGGGAGAGTTACATGTAATCTTCAAGGCCATTGTGAGGATTTAATAAGATTCAGAACACTAAGACTCCCCTGGTGGCTCAGACGGTCAAGAATCCGCTTGCATTGCGGGAGAGCTGGGATGGATCCCTGGGTTGGGAAGATCCCCTGGAGGAGGGCATGGCAATCGACTCCAGTATTCTTGCCTGGAGAATCCCCATGGACAGAGGAGCCTGGCGGTCTACAGTCCGTGGGGTTGCAAAGAGTCAGACACGACTGAATGACTAAGCACAGAACACTGAGAGTCAAACATGGGGCTTGGCACATTTCAGGAGTGTAATGTAAGCCAGGACTCCTCCAAACTCTTGCCACCAAATGTACCTATGCAATTAATTATTTCTAAAGTCAATATTTCAAACAAAAAGAATAAAAAGCATTTTGTATTTATTTTCAGAGCATTTTTTTTAACTACCTTGTTCTCCTTGACAAGAAATTTCACATCAGGCATCATACTTCCCGATGTTTAAATATATGATAAACCTATAGCAATCAAAATAGTATGAAACAGACATAAAAACAGGCCTTATGGATCAATGGAACAGAACAGAGTTCAGAAATAAATCCACACACCTACAGTCACCTGATCTTTGACAGGGCATCAAGTATTCAGTGGGGAAATGACAGTCACTTCAATAAATGGAAGATGAGACTGGACCCTTACCTCACACCATGTACAAAAATCAACTCAAGATGTATTAAAGACTTAAATGTAAGACCTGAAACCATACAACTAGAAGAAAACACGGGAAAAAGCTTCTTGACACTGGTTTGGGTGATGATATTTTGGATATGACATCAAAAGCTCTGGCAACAAAAGCAAAAACAGACGAGTGGGGTTGCATGAGACTAAACAGCTTCTGCAGAACAAAGGAAACAATTAACAGAGTGAATAGGCAACCTGTAGAATGAAAGAAGCTATTGGCAAACTATATGATATGAGGTTAATATTCAAAACATATGAGGAACTCAACTCGACAGCAAAAGCCCAAATAACCCAATTCAAAATTGGGCTGAAGACCTGAATAGACATTTTTCAAAAGAGATAATAAATGGCCAACAGGCACATGAAAAGGTGCTCAGCATCACTAATCATCAAGGAAATGCAAATGAAAACCACAGAGAGGTATCATCTCACACCTGTCAGGATGACTGTTATCAGAAAGCCAAGAGGTACATGTTGGTAAGATACAGAGAAAAGAGAATCCTTGTGCACTGCTGGTGGGAATGCAGACTGGGACAGCCATTACAGAAAACAGTATAAAGATTCCTTCTGGTATATATCCAAAGGAAATTAGATCAGTATCTTGAAGAGATACCTGCATGCCCATGTTCACTGCAGCATTACTTCACAATAGTAACGATAACGGAGATAACCCAAGTGTACGTCAATGGATGAATGGATAAAGAAAATGGGGAATGGAGATACACGTGTATAGATACATATATATGTGTACACACACACACACAAAATGGTATACTCCATTCTGTTCTTTAAAAAGAAGGAAATCCTGACATTTACACCACAACAGGTGAATCTGGAGAACATTATGCTAAGTGAAACAAGCCAGACACAGAAAGACAATTACAAGCTGATCTCGCCTGTATGTGGAATCTAAAAAAAGTCTAACTTATAAAAGCAGAGTAGCAGGTTGGTTGCCAAGGGTTAGGAAGTGGGGAGAATGGGGAGATGTTGCTTAAAGGGTACAAAGTTTCAGTTCTGCAGGATAAGTAAGTCTTGGAGAGCTGAAGTCCAGTATGGGGACTACAGTTAATAGTACTGTATTGTACACTTGAAATTTGCTAAGAAAGTTGATCTTAAGTGTTCTCACCACACATGCATACACAAATATAACTACGTGAGGTGATGAGTATGCTGATTAGTTAGATTACAACAATCATTTCAAAATGAATACACATATCAAAACATCACAGTGTATACTTTCAATTATACACAATTTTTATTTGTCAATTATAACTCATTTAAAGCCGGGGGGGGGGAAATTCCAACTCAAAGAATATCAAGTAACTTTAATGTTAGTTAAATGTTATAGAGATCAATGTTCCTCTATAAACAGGGTATTCAAACACATAACTTCTATTTTATACTTTGACCACTATGTTCTAATGGTACGTATTATACTGAATTGCACTAAAATGCTTTCTTATTTAAACCAACATGACTATTTCCTTCACCACTGAAATAAAAATACCAGATATTCTATATCTGTTTTATCAGAACATTACACAGTTATTTTCTTATGAACAAATCAGTAAGGTGCTTTTAAAAGATATATTGGAGACATGGCTTCTAAATCAATGTTTCTTGAAGCCACAAAGTTAATTTTGTTGGTCTTTGTATCTCTCATCTGGAACTATCTTTTTAAATGTTATTTATGCTACAGGAAAAGTTAACATCAGAGTTGTAAAATCTATGTATATAATTTAGCAATATTAAATGTAACTGACTACACAACTACCTCTGAACCATGTCAAAGTCAGAAAACTGAAATTCTGACATGAAAATTTCACAGAGGTAACAAAAGGCAGGTACTCAAATTGCACTTTCTGACTGTGAGGTGTTAGAAAAGATTGACATTTATGGAGTGCTGTGATAGGCAGGCCTGGTACAAAGCAGCTCATATGCACTGGGTCCTCAAAACCCCATTCACGGGGCAGTCTGCTGGCGTTTCTACTCCACAGAGGGAAAACCAGAAGTGCAGAAAGGTATGGTGCCTTGCCCAGGGTCTTGAAACTCAGGTCACTGAATTCAGAGCCCAAGCTTATAACCAACTAGACTATACTAAAAGGTCTGACGTTTTAAGAGACATCCATCTAATCATTTTGGCAGAAAGGCAGCAGCTGGTTTGGTTACTGTACCCAAATGTTCTCAGAGTCAAACCAGTATCTTTTCCATAGAATAATCAGATTCATTTTGTATATAAATAAACCCAACCATAAGGCACTAAGGCAAAAATCAACTTGTTTCTCTTCAAATGACTGAATAATCCAAGAAAACAATAAACTAGTTATTTTCACTTATGAAAACCATTACCTTAATAAATGGCATTCTTTCTTATTTCTTATAACTCCCAGAAACATAAAAAGTACATGATCCACTTGGAAATTTGACCATACGCAAGCTGCCATCTCTATAGAAATCCCACTGGATAACAAAAAAGGCTTTCACAAAGAAAACCACTGCATCTGAAGAGCAGCCAAGACATGGGCCCATCAGTTGTGGATTGAGTTTTCTGAGCCTTATAATTTAAATCTATGATTGTGTTGTGTTCAAGATAAGAGGAGCTGAGGCAAAATCCAATTTCTCAGTCACGACTCCAAGGCCATTCATTCCCTCTTGATTGCTGAAAATGAATCTGTTTCTTCTGGGGAAGGATCGCCATGGGGACCAACACCTGTACCACTGAAAAGTAAATCCTGCCCAGTCCCTGCTCATCACAGGTGTCTGGGATGTCAAAGAGGAAAAGGGTTTCCCTCCAATGTCTCCTCTTGACTGATTTATAGGAAAAAACACTAAAAGAATGCTCTAGCAGCCTTTTTCAGGACAGCCTTTATGATGCTGGCATAAGAGCACGTTTCAATGAGAAGACAGGTGATATTAAACTTTGGTTCCTCCAGATAAACCTCTAGGTAAGAAATATAGTCTCAAAATTCCACCAGCACTTTCACCCAAGCAAAGAAAGCACCCAAATACAACTATTAAGTGAATTAGAAACATTTATTTGGAGAGCATTTTACCTTACCTGAAAAAGAGTTGATGTCACTTGTTTCTTGGATAGATGACTTTGTACATGTTCTACTGCTTGCTTTGAGAATGGCTTTAAAAAAAACACAATGTTTTCTTTTTCCCCCACAAATATAAAACAAAGCAAACCTCTGTATATCTTACAGTGTCACAACATATAATTTAACACAACAGTTACTAAGCAGTAACCTATGGTGATCACATCAACATGCATTCTTATAAAAAAAAATCTGCTATATGTTTGCGGGCAAGCCAAACAGATGATTGTTCCTCAGAGCTTCCAGAGTTCTTAGAAACTATGTCAAGAAGGGTGATACACATGGGGGCATCTAACTGAAATATCTATGCCCACAAGAGATCAAGGCTACTTTGACTTAAAAAGGGTGTAAGGAATCGTATTATCACCGTATTAATATTAAATGCATCATCTCTCAGTTGGCTGATACTGGGGTCCTAAAAGCATAAAATTTCAATGTCATGAGAGAACATGAATGCACAAAGATATACCTAAGAATTAAATGCCAGGATCACAAAGCTAAACCACAGTGTTGGAAAGACTCTAGGTTAAAGAAAGGCTTGCTGTAACCACTGCAAAGAGGAATTGGTTCTAAAAGAATGAAACTCACACTGACAAAAATTAGAAACCCTGTCCTCCCCCTAAACTTCAAATTTTATCTGAAATAATGCACAAGAACAAGAGCTTAAAAAAGCATATCACTCTGCTAAAAACCGTCTAAACTGCTGCCCTACATGAAAGCTACGTCTACAGAGGCTTTCTTAAGTGAATATGTGGCATTTTCCAAGGTCCAGCCATCCCCAGCAAGACAGCGAGGCACAGAGCTTTACGGTAAGCTCTAGCTCAGAAGTTCAGTAAGCACTGCAGACAACACAATAAATACAGAAGCACGAAAGTGTATCATTGCCGTGACCAGTGCTGTCCAATCAGACTCGCTGAGAGGATGGAAATGCTGTGAATCTGGGCTGATGCCACCAGCCACATGTGGGTACTGCACATTTCAAATGCAGTTCAGGAGGACGTCAGGAATTTAAATTTTAGTTCCATTTGATTGTAATTAATATAAATATACTTCCCTGGTGGCTCAGTGGTAAAGAACCCACCTGCCTATGCAGGAGATGCGGGTTTGATCCCTAGGTCGGGAAGACCCCTTGGAGAAGGGGATGGCAACCCACTCCAGTATTCTTGCCTGGGAAATCCATAGACAGAGGAGCCTGATGGACTATAGTCATGACTTAAGAGACTAAACAACAACAAGTGTAAACACAATTAAATCCTCGCACAGGGCCAGTGGCTACTGCACTGGACACAGCAGTCCAGGGCTCTTAGGACACTTCTTCGAAAAACAGTTTTCATGGAGAGAGACTAGAGTGTACGTTTTCATTATTAACTATTCCACTCACTTCGGGCAGAAGAATTTCCTAGGAACTTCGTTTATCCTAATGACTGAATAAGACTGTTTCTCTGATTTACAAGCAAAAAAAAAAGATTTCAACCATCATTCAACTATTAGTGAACTATATTAACATAATGATTACAATCAACCTTATTAATTCAAAGAAAGCATTTAAGATACTTATTGATCAATATTTGATTAGCCTAATTGTTAAAGGAGAGCTAAATGAAAAACAATAAAGCTTAATTTCCTTAGAGAGTCAAGAACTGAGCTTAGCCTTTTCTTGCATTGATCTGCATTAGCCATTTTATCAACATCTGTACTGAAAGTATCCAAACCTTATTAAAAGTACATGGAGCAGCAGATATTAGATCAGTATTACCAGGAAACAAATGACAAGACTTGAGAAACATGGGTTCCATCCTGGATGAATACCTTTAAACCCGTCCTCCTATTTTAACTTTTATTCTAAAAACATGTGAAGCCTGTCTCATTTACTCATACTGAATTAATAAAATAAGCAGAGGTACTTACATGTGAACAAGACAGCAGCTCCTTCATAATGTAAGTATCATAAATTTGTCGACTTCTACAAAGGCGATCTTCCTCATTCTCAAGCTTTTCATATTCTTTTATCTAGACAGTTAAAAGTTATGATTGTTAGGTACTGTCTTCCTAGAAACTTACTTTATTAAAAGATATTACTCGTCTTGGCAGAAACCACTTCCACATGAGATCAAGCAAATTACTTGAATTGGCCAGTGCACAGGAAATAACTACTTCTAATGTTGAAATAATGAAGCTGGAATAATTTAAATTCAACTTGGGACATACGAATGGATTTTTTCCTAAGATGAACCTCGTTGCTTAAATTTAGAAACACAATATTAGGAAACAAACACTGCCATGGTTACAATTATCTTATGATATAGCAGCCATGGACCATTCATTCTTGCCAATTCTCCTTTCCAAAGCACAAATAATTTGAACTTGGCAGTAATCCATTTCTATGAGTTATGATGGGGATCATTTTCACTTGACTACAGTGTTACAAAACTCAGGAGGAAAAAATAATAATGAATTGTCAGGATTCCTGCAGAGATTTTTAAAAGTCAACTAAATCTTTTAGAAAGACATTCATCATAGATAAAAGCACTGGTTTTTCACACTGGAACCGTCTCCGCACTCTAAAAGTATTAACAGAAAGGTTCCTTCAAATAGTAACCTGACGGGTGTTAAGATAGACTAAATAATAAAATAGGCTTAGCAAACACGCTTTGTGAGAACATGATCTCTATTACTTTAACCTCATAAGTTCTCAGATCAGAGAAGTGTTTTTACTCCTTTACAGAAATACGTTAAATCTAAAAGACATTAAAAAAGAATACATTTGTATCAGTTCTAATGAGGTGGATGAAACTGGAGCCTATTATACAGAGTGAAGTATGCCAGAGAGAAAAACACCAATACAGTATACTAACACATATATATGGAATTTAGAAAGATGGTAATGATAACCCTGCATGCGAGACAGCAAAAGAGACACAGATGTACTGAACATCTTCTGGACTCTGTGGGAGAGGGCGAGGGTGGGATGATATGGGAGAATGGCATATTGACACACGTAAATTATCGTATGTGAAATGAATCGCCAGTCCAGGTTTGATGTATGATACAAGGTGCTCAGGGCCAGTGCACTGGGATGACCCAGAGGGATGGGATGGGGAGGGAGGTGGAAGGGGGGTTCAGGATGGGGACACATGTACACCCGTGGTGGATTCAAGTCAATGTATGGCAAAACCAATACAATGTTGTAAAGTAAAATAAAGAAATAAATTAATTTTTAAAAATCTAAAAGACAAGAAGAGAATGAAAACAAATGAAATATGGAGTTGATAGGAAGATTGCAGTGAAGATTTTCAATATAATGACTAATAACTACATAGGACTTATTTCTGAAAAAAACAGAAAATTTTCCTACCAAGTAGCCAGTTATACTTTCATAATATCTGAGCACTTTTTATTCTGCTATGATTCTGACCACTCCTAGAGGTGAGAATACAAACTGAATGGAAATAAAAGCTACCTTTTTACTGTATAGTCTCAGCTTGATAAGGTTTCCCTGATAGTTCAGTTGGTAAAGAATCCGCCTGCAATGCGGGACACCTGGGTTGGGAAGATCCCCTGGAGAAGGAAAAGGTTACCCACTCCAGTATCCTGGCCTGGAGAATTCCAAGGACTGTATAGTACATGGGGTTGCAAAGAGTTGGATACGACTGAGTGACTTTCACTCAGTTTGACAAGTTTTGAAATCAAAACCAGTAAATCCTGTGAGAATTTCTGATAAAGAAAGGGCATGGTTGGCAGGGAGAAGAGTATGCACAGAGCATGAAGCATATACAGTATGTGTATGAAGGCTAACTGCTTCACACACTGAGAAATTACTGGGATCATCTTAATTGTCCTTAAATATCAATGAGATGGCTGAAATTCACAAGTCTGTAACTGCCTGGGCTTAGAATGAAGTCTTCTCGAGGCAGACACTGAAATTGAACATAAAGGCAGAAGGCGGAGGGGAGGCTGATACTCCATCCAAGAAGAAAACACTTAAAAAAAAATTTTTTTAACTCTTTACTTTAAAAAAAAAATTTATTGAAATATAGTTGATTTACCATGTCATGTTAGTTTCAGATGTACAACAAAGTGACTCAGTTTATATATATATATATATATATGTAGGTATGTATGTATGTATATATATACATACATACACACATACATATATTCTTTTTACATTCTCTCCATAATAAATTATTATAACCTATTGAGTAGAGTTCCCTGTGCCACACAGCAGGTCCTTGCTGGCTACCCATTTTATATGCAGTAATGTGCACATTTCAACCCCAAACTCCTAACTGACCCCTCTCCCCCCCTTTGGTAACCAGAGCTTGTTTTTATGTCTGTGGGTCTACTTCTGTTTTGAAAATAAGTTCATTTGTATCATGTGCTTTTAGATTCCACATATAAGTGGTGTCATATGATATCTGTCTTTCTCAGTCTGGCTTACTTCACTTTAGTATGACCATCTCCTAGGCCCATCCATGTTGCTGCAAATGGCATTATTTTCTTCTTTTCATGACTGAGTAATATTTCATTGTATATACGGACCACATCTTCTTTATCCATTCATCTCTCGATAGACTAGGTTGCTTCCATGTCTTAGCTATTATAAACAATTCTGCTGTGAACATCAGGGTATATGGATCTTTTCAAATTATGTTTTTCGCCAGAAGGAAGACATTTTTTAATGAAGATGCAATCCAGCAGTGTTGGCATAACCAGTGGACCTGGGCTTAATCATCCTAAGTTAACTCAGGAGAACATGTCTACAAGGTTCAAACACTATCCCAGCCGCAAATATGACAGCTGCAAGAAAACAGAAGCTAGACACCGAAATCTGAAGGAGAGTCAGAAAATAAACAAAGGACTCTGGCTTGGCTGATTTCTTTTGTTGTTTTGTCAGGTTTTAGTAAGATCCAAAAATTAATGTCAGAATGCTAGGATAAAAGAGGTGGACTATCAGTGAACCAAAGGCAAATGTTTCTGCCTAAACATACAAATAAACTCTAGGAATACTAAACCTGCATGGAATTATTACCCTCAAACACAAGTGTAAGGAAACCTAAATCTATGTTCTGGGGCCTTTAAAGCAAGCTGATACCTGAGTCAACGGGAGTTTTCTATGAACTGTAAGAGACTGACTATACAGAAAATCCTAGTTTCTTGTGCAAACCATGCCCTGAACCATAGTTCTGGCTCTAGTGAGTGCCTTGTGCTCCACAAACTCTGACTTGAACAACAGCAAAGGTTAATTCTTAGTAGGCAAAGCAAGAGCTTAGCATCTGGGGCTGTAATTCAAAATTCACTTTCTATTATCAGTCAGACCACTAACTGAAGAACATGCAGTCAACCATCAATTAGCTCTGGACAGGATGCCCTGACCGTGGTACACACAGAGAAAGCGTCACCCCTAACTCCGGCGGGCGGGTTGCCCAGGGAATGGAGCAGGCGGAGGCCCAGGTTCAAGGTGAAAGGCCGCCGCTAGAGCAGAACAGAAGCATCACCACCAGCAGCGAACACTCACTGGCCGTGTGGCCCCTCTTTCTGTTTTGGTGGTTACAGAGCTCACAGCTCAGCATGTAGCCTGAACACAGAACCCTGAGAGCAAGCCCCTTTGGCCCGCAGCTGTCACAGGCCCCCTCTCCTTGTCTCCCATCTGCCCCACTGCCGTTCCAGCCTGGTAGAGTCACAGCGGCCTCCGCCTTGCCCAGTCAAGGGCCTCTCTTTCTGTCCAGCTCCCTGACACCCCAGCAGCGTTCGGCTCAGGGCTGCACTCCTGCCTCGTCTGAGCTCTGGGGCCCCCCGACTTCTGGGGTCTGTACTCCCCAGGAGGCTGCCCCCTGGCTCCTCTTCTCCAGTCTCCCTTGGCAAGTCTTCCTCTTCTGCTAGACTTCTAAATACTGAAGTGTATGGTGCTAAGAAACCCCTTTTTCATCCACTACATTCTCCTTGGATAAAGCTATTCAGTCGCACAGTTTCAAACACCAATTCTATTCCAATGACTAAGTCTGGGTTTTCAGGACTCACTTCTCTCTCAGAGCTCCAGAGTCTGGATACTGAGCCACCTATTGGATATATCCACATCCTCTCTACTCCAGCCAATCATGCCCTTCCCCTAGTCTTCTTAATCACAAAAATGAGTAAAACCATCCTCCCAGCTGCTTATGGAGAAGGAAATGGCAACCCACTCCAGTGTTCTTACCTGGAGAATCCCGAGGACAGAGGAGCCTGGCAGGCTACAGTCCATGGGGTCTCAAGAGTCAGACACAACTTAGCAACTAAACCACCACCACCACCACCCAGCTGCTTAAGCCAAACAAGAAATAATCATCACTGATTTTGCTCTTTTGCTCACTTTGTCCCCATGATCCCCTACATTCAATTCATTAGCCAATCACACTGGTTTGATATTCAAAATGTATCACAAACCCAGGCCCTGATTCAGGTCAACCAATCTCTAACAGAACAATTACAGACAACTGTAAAACCCAACTACACTGGACCACTGAAGAGTGACCAAAAGTACACAGATTATGGGGAAAGGGCATCAAATAGAAGCCAGAAAGAAAGAGAGGATATTCCTGAAAATAAAGAGTCAGAGGAGAGCTCCAAAATTCTGCATATAAAAATCTCAAAATCTCTGGTGGACTGCATAATGATGTGTGAGCATGACAGACCCAAATTAGTCCAGCAAAGGTTAAAAAAATTGAACAAGATTAAATTGCTACCCACTGCATGAGAAGACAGCATCAAGTCTGAGTAAGTCAAATTAACTCCTGAGACAATACCCTACAGAGAAGCAGTTTAGAGAACCCACAATACCAATGTACAAGATACAATCTAAAACTGTTCTATGTTTGAAGAAACAGAGAAACGTGGGTCATACGCAAGAGAACAGATCATCAGTGAGGACCTATCCAAGGTGATTCAGAGACAGGAATTACCAGAAAAGGATTTTAAAGCAGCCGTTATAACTATACTAAAAGATGCACAGAAAATACACATATAATGAACAG